ACTGACGAGATTCCATCCATGTTCTACATGGTTTTTGACTTTGCTACGGTATCATAGGTCGACCTTTTGCGTCACGAGGTTGACCTGTGCTCTGCCTTTGGGTATGCCCGCTTTGAGTATGTGGTCGACCACTTGTTCTAGACGATTGAAATCGTAAATTCAGTCACATCCATAATTGTATAACAAATCTAATAAACGATAAACATTCAAAATCCAAAATGAAACGATCTCGCAAATACAAATTCAATGTATGGTCCAAATAATGCAACATTGTAACTTAACGACTTCATTTCTTTGCTTTTTTGTTTGAACTCTGTCTCTCTTTGCCTCGTTCCATGCATTCATCTACTACATGCTTGAAAAGATTTTCTCGTGCAAGGTTTTCAAAATGTGTAGCCAGATACCATAGAATCTCCTTTCGCGCCGGTAATTTGTGTTCTTCTCCTATCTGCATTATGCCATGTAAGATTTCGTTACAACTAAAAAAAGTGTAAATTAAACAAGTTATTTGTTTGACGATATACTCACCACTCTATCAAGATCCTTGGATCCATAGCGCATCCACTGCATGACGTGCACACCACACTCAGTACTATTCCTTTGCCGTTGAACTCGTAGCTCATCAAAATTGAAATCTCCAAAATTTGGTACTCCTACATTGCTCATGCGCTCCGATTTGAAAATATCATCCAAATTGGACAACTACACACAAATAATGAATATTTTAAGTTTCTAGCATAATACGTGACGCTTAACAGTCAGAAAATTATAGAAAACACTTACCAATTTCTTGCATAGTGCTGATTTACGCCTACGATTCGCCTCACTAGTTGAAGGTAGATTGTCAAGCAAAAATGCAGTTTTTTGCTGGACATTGACGAGATACAGAAACCAATGACGAGCTTCATCGTCAAGAACTGGCATAAATATCTAGCAACGAAACACTCACTATATGTTATAAACAGCAAATACAAACAAATGCACTTTCGAAATTTAATGATAGAGGGACATTGACTAGACTAACCTTCTGGCATGCACTGACATTCGGCATAAAGACCACGCCATCATTCATCAACTTGTTACGAATTTGTCTGGTCTTCATGTTAGCGCATACCATTTTCTGCAGCATGTTTTAGTTGAGATGAATTGACATGGTACAATATAAATATCTAGGTTATGACAAATAATTTGACATTACGGCTCTTACCGAAAACATATTTGGCAAATACCACACATTTGGTTCTTTCACATCATGTTTTTCAGACATTGTTAGTGCCCTTGCACACAAATCCACTACCTACCATCCAACAATCAAACACAAAATCATCATAAATCGTAACATAAATAGTGCACAATTCATACGAAAGTCGTAGTAGTATAGTACTTACTGATGAGCAAACCCAGCTATTCTCGCTAATGACCGAACTCAAATAATGCCGTTGCACGTTTTCAGAAAAAAAGTCCACAACGGTCAAACTGCAAAAATCAAAATAACAGAAATGTCAATTGTGATTTGCAACGTACAGGTCGACCTGTTCACAGTCACGGTCGACCTTATTGGAAAAGCGGTCGACCTCATAACCGATCCGGTCGACCACACGTACTAAAAAACGTCTTACTTGTCCCAATTCTTGTCCCCAGCCTTCTCTTTAGTAACAACATAATACAAGTCTTCAACTGGATTTTGAAGATTTTTGGTGAATCCTTCTAAACACTCCACTTTCATGACCTACAAATCATAGTTAAAATTAAAGTAACATATGAACACAAACACACATTATAGATGAATATGTAACGTAAACTTACCCCGTGCTTTTCGAAAGGACTCTTAGATTCTTCTTCATCGCTATCATCACTAAATAATCCTTTTCTTACAAATTGATCCTTCTGTGGAGTGGTGTAGGAGTCACTTTCATATCGAGGTCTCTTGTACTTAGGAGAGGAACCCTTGCTGCCATTCGTTGTTTCACTCTGTCAAACATATAAACAAAACAAATTAGCACTAATGATAGTAATACTAATATCTTCAATCACATATGAATATACTTGGATACCTTTAAAATGTGCTCTTTCAATAAATCGTCTATGCTCTGGTAGCAATTTTCAGAGTCATCATGGTCTTCTTCCTCTTTACCAAAGTCAAATTTCTTTCCTTTACCATTTCTTCCGCCATTCTCCATTCGTTCTGCACTTATATCTTTGATAGCACCTTCTAGCCTCTCAAACCCGTCATGCATCATCCCAGTAATATCTGTCAGTCGAACTGACAATTGCTCCACTCTATCACACATGGACTTCTGAAAGTCATTGACTTGTGTTTGACACACCACCAGCTTCTCTTGTGTGGCTTTCAACAATTTCATGATTTCACCCAAATCTTGATGCAGTTTCTCATCATGCGTCATTGTCTAAACAATTTCAAGAAAAATTTAAATCATAATTCAACTACAAATTTCTACAATTGACCAAAAAACAAAGACGTGGTCGACCTGACAAAGTATTAGGTCGACCTGGAAGACAAATAATGACTACCACAACCATTAAGGTCGACCTCTGTTATTCCTAGGTCGACCTATCCAGCAGGAAAATAACAATTAACAACAAAAAGTAAGTTCAAAATTAAACCGAAAAAAGGATAGGTCGACCAGATATCTGGTGCGGTCGACCTTTTCAAGCACAACATAGTCATACAATCAAAGCCAAAGTAGACATTCAGGTTGAATAACCAAAAAAACAGGAACGGTCGACCTTGAAACCCATTAGGTCGACCAATTGGGTTACCTCGCAAGTACAGAAATCCAAGTGTTGTGGCCTAAATTCAAATACACAGAATTGTCTCGTCAGGTCGACCTGGTTGACGTCACGGTCGACCGAATGGAATTCTGCACCCAACAATATATCAAATTAGCCGGTAGAAATCACGCATTAGAAAAGAAGACGACGAATGGTACATTAGGTCGACCTCACCTTAGACCTGGTCGACCACTTCCAACGCGTACAACAGCAACTGCGAACGATCTTCTTCACAAAGGCTCTTAATCGGAAAAAAACCTAATTCAGACTTGGAGGCGTTGAAGGGGACTAATATTCGTATTTATAGAGATTTGGGACGTCAATGGGTCGACCCAATTCGTTTCCTTGTCCAATTGTGGAACCTTTCTGGTGTTGGAATCCATATCCAATACGGATACGGTGTGAAGGCGGTCGACCTCTTCCTAATGCGGTCGACCTGTTAGGTGCACAAGGGTCGGCCTATGAGATATTTGGGTCGATCTTTCATTCTGTTAGACCACCAAAGCGGTCGACCGTATTATGTAAGAGGTCGACCGCGTCTTGGAATCCCACATACATGAATTAGTCGATTCGGTCGACCGCCTTCAGCAATAGGTCGACCGAAAAGTCCATGTCACGGTGACATGCATGTCACCGTAGCAAAATCCTAAAATTTTGACTGTCCACACCAAATTGTGCGTGAAAATGTCAAATAAATTAACTTATGTTTATTCAATTAAAAACGAAAAACAAACTTATTATATATTCAATTTGGACCATTTCCTTTTACCATCCAAACAAAGACATACCCAACTGGGAAAAGTCTTTCAAGCACAAGAGGTAAAAGTTGGTGCGATGAAAAGAAAGTGATCCATCCAATAATTCAACTTGAAGTAAATAAAAAGAAGAAATAAAAAAATTTGGTTTTCAGCTTCTTCTTTTATTTTCCTCTCATTTCCTATCTGTCAACCACTGTGCATATGGGGGAAAAAGCATATCGCAGCAGCAGCAGGAGCAGCGACCTCCAATATTATGGTGTTGGATAGCGACTTCCTCACCCTCTATTATTGCTCTAGCGAGGGGTGGATCTCAGTGTGTTAACCTTAGGAATTTGGGTAAAAATTTCATATTTTATCGTTACAATTTATGCTACATCTCTGAAAATTATAAATGTTATATTTGTTGCAACTGTAAGATGTTTTATTATTATTATTATAAAATTAATCAAGAATGATTATCGAAATCAGGCTGTAACCAATGACAACCCCGAAGCAATGGCCCTCCATGAGAATCAGCAGCTACACCTTCTCGAAGTTGATTACGTTACTATGTTTGACTATGTTTGGCTCTTCTTCTGAATTATCCATATTATCATATCAACTAGCTCATATTAATAAAATAAAATAAAAAGTCACACAAACCCCTTAATCAAACTTTATAAGTCTATAACTAATGGACCCTTCAAAAACTATAACTAATGGAGGAAGGGATTATGGTGGGTTTGGGTAACATTGGTTCAGATGAGGATCAAATTGTATGGATTAAATTGGGGCTTTTTATGTGACTTTTCTATTCTTAGTATATGTGATTTGACATGATAATATGATCATTTGACTAAAACCGTGTTTGTTATTTCGAATTTCAGTATATAATTTGTTCAAATTTTATATTTATAAATACTAGTTAAGACTAACTTCAACCCTACAAGTTATATTTTAGCTTCCCAAACCTCATTTTTACTTCAAATCTACAAGAAGCTAAATTAACCTTCCTACCTCCTTTTTTCAATTTATTTCAACTAATCATACTTATTTGGCAGCTATTTTTTATATTTTAGTTTAAATTTTTTATAGTTCGTTATCAATTTTGAAAACAAAATTTTCGATGTAAATTTTTTAAATTCGATAAATTTTTTTGTGAAATTAGTCGTTAACAGAATGAGTAACAACCCCAAATTATGTGACAAGTATGTAATTACTCACCCATCATGTAGCCTTTAGGTCCAACGCAACATTGAATAAAGGGAAAAATTGTTTGGTTGCAATCTCCCCACTTGTCCTCTATATGGGAAAATTGTCTTTCTTAAACCTACTTAACTAGAAAAGCCATTGATGATTACAACAACATTAGGCCTCGATTTGTACACATCTAAAATCTATAATCAGGAGTGTCGATTGGCCCGACTTTCTTTAGGATTCAAGTGACCATGTTGGAACCTTATTTGGATAAACATGTATACTTATTTATGTTCCCATTTTGAATGAGTTAAGGAGAAAGACTTTATCTTTGTAGCATTGGTAAGTAGTGGTGGGTCTTCTTTTTTTCCGTCAAGAACCTTATTTGGATTATTTTGAGGTCCCTTTAAGGAGAAACAAAATTTGGGGTTGTGAGATACACTGAGATTGGGACATGAAATTTGCAATATTTTTTTCCTAACAAAAGTTTAATAAATTTAAAATATTAGTGATAAATAATGAGGTTGGGAAGTCGTAGAATAGTTGTTTGATGTCATGCATGTGACCACAATAACATAGGTTATGATTTTTGGTTGATGGGTTGTTTGGGATCTTTGAGAGAGACGACTAAGGGGTTGTTTTCTTTTGTATATCATCTCCCAAATGTTGTTGTAGTAGACTAGTACTGTAGTCCAGTTTTGACAAATGGGTTTACAATATTTTGTGTCGATAAAAGGTTGAAATGGAAAAGGTGGGCCAAAAACAAAAATAGTCGAAAAGGCAACATACATAAATAGATTGCACTTTTTGACTTCTAGATCAATGTTTCTAAACACAGTTCATACTTCTTTGAGTAAAATTCAAATGAGGGTATTTATATTTTTATATGCCTTTTGGAACAAATTAAATTAAATTAATCATATTCCTATAAGCATCAGATGTAACCGCCTTGATAATCGCTCTTCCCAGTGTTGTAGTACTTGATGTATCTTGTTTGATGCCCTAACATCCCTTGCTTGTATGCATGCCACTAGATGAATTGAAGACTACATAACGAACTTGATGGATAGTCTCTGTGTTATGGAGTTGTATTATCTGATGACTTGTCTCGGTGTATACCATATTGTTCTAAATAACTCACAATGAGTAATTGAAGTTAGTATAACTCATCCAAAGACTATACTTGAATCATATTTATCTCCGGAATAATGTTTTTTCTTGGATTTGATGAAATTAGTCTAGAGTGGGTAATTATCATTGCCGTGTGTCCATGCCAGTCACATTGTTAATTTTCCTAGCGCAGCCCAAAAACTAATAACAGGGCTGGTATTTGACCTTGATATTAAATGCTGGGCTTATTCCCAAATTTCATGATTGGGCTTCAGTGGATGATTATTAATTTCCATACGCGGCCCAATATTACCATTAAGCTTTTCTGTGGATCAGGCCTCAATTCAAATTGATGGGATATAAAGTGTAGGGCAGGTAACAGTACCGTCCAATTCAAAACGAACCAAATTGAGGAAAACCGTCGTCCAACAGTGAAAAATATTTTAGCATCATTACAGACTGGATCAACAGTTTATTCGGTCAATTTTTCTTTGATATTTAATATTTATAAAATTTATGAGATCAAATGTTAGACCATATTAATTAAGGCTCTGTCAATATGAGCATTCACAAGATGGATAAATATCTGTTGAAATTAATTAGTTGTGATTAAGATCGATTCATGTCTATTAAGATTGATTCATGTCGATTAAGCTTTACAATCCTCTATTCTCTTGTTTTGATAATGAAATAGCTAATATGGAACTTAATAGATCGTGATTGACCGATTTGGATAGAGAAAATTACGTAGCGATAGACAAAAAAAAATATGTGTAGCATGTGATCCATCAACGACGTGTTTGTAACACGCGAATCAACCGCTAGCTAGCAGTAACGAGTTTTTGTATGAAATTCGAAATAATACAATTTTTTTTTTAATTATATGGAATTTGGAATCATAGTATGATTACTTATTAAGAAATGCACAGAGAGGACATAAGAGGAACTTTTACATGATACAACAACTAGTTAATTTTCTCATATCCTTGAAGCGAATTCTTTGTTGATTTTTCAATTTCCTATATTATTATTATTATTATTATTATTATTATTATTATTATTATTATTATTATTATTATTATTATTATTATTATTACCACCATCACCAAGCCTCTGAATCAAGCCGCTCGGCCATGAACCGTTCTCGAACGTAAGAAATGTAAGTCGCAGCCTTGGCATCCACGTTTGCATCGCCGGGAGAGGAGTAGTAAAAGCTGCCACTAGTCGCCATGCCAGCTGCCGACTTCTGAATTGATGCGGCATGCGGGCTTGCGACTTCACTGCTCTGACGATTGGTGGAACAGTAGAAACCTCCACAACCATTGACGACGATGTTCTTCTGATGGTGGCGCACTGCTTCTGCTCTGGACTTGGAGCTCTTGCTGCCGAGTCCAAACAAGGACTTGGCCAGCAGCTTGCCTCGAATCGACCCGCCAGATGACGACTTTCTCTGGCTCATCTCCATAAAAGCTTGCTTGGTTTCTGATAAAGCGTATGTTTGTTTGTGGGTTCAGTCGAAATGGCGAACCATTAGTGTAGGCGTGTAGCTACTTATATAAGGAAACAAAGTTGATTGGTTCATGAATGTGGCCACGTGTGAGTTTGTGGTTGGCTAATGCAGACGGCAATTATTGGAGTGGAAAAGAGGAGGATTGGAAATTATTGGATTTTAAGGAGTGGATGATAATTGAGTTGAGTGTGAGTTTTGGATAGACATAGGAAAAGAAAATAAGAGACTTGGATATTGGGACCCACTTTCACCTCTTTAGATCACAAAGGAGGTCAGTGGCGGAGCCAGAAATTTGAACGAGGGCTAAAAATATACATTTGAGTGGTAAATCATGGTCACTGGTGAGGGGGGACTAGTGGCCTACCAACTAGTCTATTTTTAGAATTTGTTACACATTTTACATGTAAATTTACCTATTTTCGAAAGTTAAGGGGGCTATAGCCCACCCTGAGCATAATGTGGCTCCACCACTAAGGGAGGTTGTCAACCTGCTTGTTTAGCTCGTTGGCTCATTGTGCAAATCGGTTGAAGGTTAATGGTAAGATTAGTTCATATGTATGACAAATTATTATATTGCGCATACCTTTATAAATTATATAAAATCTTATCTAACATATAACATTACAACATAATAACAATTCATACTTGAATCCAACATATAGTGAAAATTCAGGCACACTCATATAACATCAATATTGAAATGTTCAACTTAGAATTCCAAAAGTAATGTTAGGCGAAGGGAGAACCGAAAATGGTACCGTTCGCAAGCTAAAGAAGAAAACAACATCGTATGACCTTCAACTCAGGAATCTTGTTGCAGGTTGGCCCGTGAGTGTGTGCCGTCCATTTTTCTCACTGGATCCAAATCAGTTCGGGTCGACTGGCACGTTGACAACCTTAATCACATGTACGTTTGTGTTGTGCTCTTGTATATGTAAATTCCAATCAAATATAATCTAGAATCTAGCTAAGTACCGTAAAATTACTAATAAAAACATAATGTATATATTTATTAGAATTCTAAAGATAATGTTAAGCACGGGAAAAACAGATAAAGGTAAAATTCGCAAGCCATAGAAAAAAAAAACATCGTATGTTTTTCAACCTAGGAATCTTGTTGCAGCTTGACCCGCGAGTGTGTGCCACCCGTTTTCTTCACTGGTTCCAAATCAATTCGGGTAGACCCGCATGTTGACAACCTTGATCACATGTATGTTTATGTTGTGCTCTTGTATATATGTATATATTCCAATCAAATATAATCTAGAATCTAGCTAGGTACCATTAAATTACTAATAAAAACATAGGGGGTTAATTGTACGGTTGGTCACTGAAATTACAAAAAACGTTCATGTTTGGTCATTAGAAATATTTAGTTCCATTCGTGGTCATTAACTTTACATTTTCGTTTCATCATTGGTCACTCTTCGTCCAACTCCGTTAAGTTTGTCCTACGTGGCAGTCAACTCTATTAGTTGACTGTTAAATGAGTGATATGGCAAATAAAAAAAATAATTTTTTTTAAATAATTTCCACCTCCCCTAAAAACACCACCATTTCCCACCTGCGCCGTCGGAGACCACCTGGATCCAGACAAACTGTTTCGTCGGATCTCATCTCCGCACAGGTAAAGGTAAAGTTTCAGGGGCAGAGCGTGGTGGCTATGGTTAATGATCATTCGATAGGTATGCACCCTTTCGCAGGCAATGGATCACACCGCCAATAGGCAATGGCGCAAACGCAGAAACTTTCTCGATTACTGTCGAAACCTGTTGGAAAGAGCTCGCTCTTCGTGCACATTGACGACACGAGCTGCCCCAGATTGATGTACTTTGGTGAATAATGTATGAGGTTGATACTCTTAATTCACCTGTCCAAATCCCATTGGATTGATTGTATCGGTCATTTCAAGATGAACAAGCAAAAAACCATGATATCCTCTGTTTTCATGTGAATTTCTTTAGGTTAAACAATGTAGCAATTAGGTCCGAGCTTGACAAAATCACCAATTGCACTGCATGAACTTCATGTGCCCAGAAGCAAAGCATACTTGCATTAACACTGCCCCTACAGCAGCATAGGAAGCAGCAGCATCTACGATACGAATCCAAGATCGCGGAGCAGTACGACACCCGAGTCGCTGTCCAAACCACCCTCCTCTCCACCCGCTGGTGCACCGCCTGGAAATCAACCCTCACTTCCCTCCACTTCCAAACCACCTCCCCTCCGGCCGACGCCAACTGCTTCCGCCTCTTCGTCGAAAAGATCCTCACCCTCAGCGACCCCAATTTCGTGGACCTCTCCACCCTCTCCCTCGCCGCCCACCAACCCTGAATTAACTGATCTCTTTGATCCGATCTACTCCTACGGCTCAACCCATCGCACCCGAACCTTCCACTTCACCGACCTAACCCTAACCATCGCAATTAATCCATTTCCCCCAAAAAATTCACCTCCCTCTGCGCAATCGTCAAACACCTCGAAATCTCTGCCAAATTCGACTCCACAAACTGATCGCCGAGTCCTCGAATCTCCCAACCTAACCTCCCTCCGCCTCTGCCGTTGCGTGATACCCACCTTGACCCGAACCGTGGCGGTGTATTCCGACCAGGAGTGCTGCATTCACAAGCCTTTCGAGTCCATGCCGAATGTGGAGAAGTTGAAGCTGGTCCACTGCGAGTTCGGGACTACCATCGCGGTCAAGGTGTCCGGGGAGAAGCTGGTGGAGATCGTGATCGTAGGCGACGACGGTGAGAATAGTAAGAACTACTACTGTCAGAACATGTACCTGTGCGCGCCGAGGTGGAAATTATTAAATTTTTTGTTTGCCACATCATTCATTTAACAGTCAATTAATAGAGTTGACTGTCACATAGGAAAAACTTAACGAAGTTGGACGGAGAGTGACCAATGATGAAACAGAAATGTAAAGTTAATGACCACGAACAAAATTAAATATTTCTAGTGACCAAACATGAACGTTTTTTGTAATTTCAATGACCAACTATGCAATTAACCCAAAAACATGATGGATATATTTATTAGGATTATTATGATCAATTATCCACGATCACAAGTCAATTTTACAACATATATTTTTGAATGCGAAGTCAATACAAATGTATGTGAAATTTGGTCGAAATTATCTCAACATATGTTTTTCTTATGTAAATGACAAGCACTTTTTATGAAGATTGATGATATAATGGAATGAAAAATTTCTTTCAAACACAGTTTTGACAACCATAACCAGAAAAGAATTGAGCTTCAACCAAACTCACAAACAAACAAATAAAAAAACAAAATCCACGAACAATTCAACGAGTACAGAATTATGTGAGCACGAACTGAAAACCATCTTACGAGCACCATAGCAAAATCTGATAAGATATGTGCAAGTATCAAGTTCACTTTAATAAAGATGATGATGGAGAATTTCAGTGTTTTGTCTGTATTCATTCATAATTTTTTGTTGTGCCAATTGGGTTTTTTTTTCTCAAGCTTTGTGAAAGCAGCGAGAGTGAGTGAAGTGATGGGATATTCCTATTCAATTTCGATGTGTGAAGTGGAAGGCTTATTGCTTCTTTTTCATCGTCTCTTCCAGCTTTAATTGACCCCTTTTCTGATATCCTTTCAGTTTGTGAAAACAAATTATCTTGGCAATCTAGTCAAGAAGAAAGAGCAAAAATCCAGGCAAGATATGGAGACACGAATGTTTGATAATAGGGAATTTGTGGATAGTGATATGAATCGAGCCCGAATTATGATAATGATTTCCAAATTCGAGTTAGTCACGAACTTTAATATGTAAGCTCGAGCTCGGCTTGTTTATAAAAATAAAAACTCGAACTAGGCTCGCCAAATAAGTTTAACGAGGCCAAATTAAGTTCAACTCATAAAATGTTCATGATAGCTTAAAATTGAGCTAGAACTGAGCACAAAATTACATTCAAATTTGCAGCAAAGTCTAACAAAATAAAACTCAATATTTTCTCAATTTCAATGCCTAAAATCCATAAATTCCAATAATTTCTGATGCCAATCCGTTAAATGATTTTGTTCGCGATTTTCCGAGCTGAACATAGTATGGCTCGAGTTCGGCTCGTTTAGTTAACGAGTTTCTTCGCGAGCCGGCTCGATTAAGACAAATCGAGCGCCGAACGAGTTTTTCTCGAGTCGTACGCCAAGTCGTTAATGAGTGGTTTGATTCATTAACAGCCCTATTTGTAGTTGACAAAAAGGAGGAGTTTGTATCAATACTGGAGCTGCAATTTTTGTTAGCTAGCCATTCAATTTGTGTAAACGGGGCTGGAAGAGATCAGAAATGTGATCGTAGAAATGGATTTATTGCATTCTCATCATTATTTTAATTAATGGGAGGGATTGATTTTGAAATGATATTCATGTTATTGAGAAGTCAATGATTTCGTGTGTGATTCCCAATAATCCTTATTGAAATCATTGATCTAAATCAATGTTCTCATAACCGAACTGGAGCATGACCCGGTAATGCGAACGACTCGCACTTTGGTGGTCCAACCGACATTAGACCGTTTAAAAACTGTTAGAGAACCGGTACCTAATAAATGTTATCAGTATAAATAGTGGACATTTCTTAATCAGAGCTCGTCTCTTTCCTTCAAAATTGTGAAACGGATATAAGGATTCAGTTTGAGAGCCTGACGTTTTTGGTTTATTTCAATTTTTAATTTTCTGCAATTTTTTTAATTAAATTTAATGGCTGAATGGCAAAAACCGGACGAGCGGCTTGAGCGGTTAACCGCATCGGCCGCTCGTCAACCGCTACATAAAACCGAAGCCGTTTTTAGACTGTTTCGAGCCGGTTTTGTGACCGGATGGCGGTTTTATCGGTCGGACCGAGCGGCTCGGCTCGACTTTAATAACATTGATTTGAACATTCCAAATGTTGGTTAAAATAGATTTTATTGTTTTTTAGGCACTGCTTATTTCACGACCGTTGTTATTTTTTCAATTTTTTTTATTATGACTGCGATATAGTGACGAATATATTTTAGGATGATGATACTCTAGATAAGATAATTTATATCTTACTATTGTTTTGGGTTATATCATGATTGAGGTGATAGATCACTATTTCTCTCGGCCATCATCCCTTGTGCTAGTTTTTGAGCCACGTCCAACTAGGTGGAGGAGGCCCGTTGAATAGAACTCTGTGAGTGAAAATTCGTGAAGACTTCGAGTAGGGTGGCCGCCTTATGCCCTAATGCGTTCGCGGAATCATAGGCTTGTGCCGGTGGCAGGTCCACGAAAGCAATAAATTTTTTGAGATTTGATTTTTTATTTTTTTCCTTAATTATTGAATTTTATCTTCGCGCTTTAACATAGGGTCTATCATCATTATAATAGTTGTATATGTCGTGGAAGACTGGAAGTACACACTTTGTGCGGAAAAAATCTCAAAGTACACTAGTTCTTAAAAAAAATTCCCAAAATACATAAGTTATAAAAAAAATTCCAAAAGTACACATGTTTGGCTCAGTTCTAGCGTACTTTGGGATTTTTTTTATAACTAGTGATGCTCAAACATGTGTACTTTTGGAATTTTTTTTATAACTTATGTATTTTGGGAATTTTTTTTAAGAACTAGTGTACTTTGAGATTTTTTCCCACTTTGTGCGCCATACTTGTTGTGAAAAATATTCAAAATTCATTAACTCAAGACTTGCACAAAATATGACACGATAGTGTGGAACAATAATACAAGTTTCAAGCTCCACAAACTAGGGTTTCTTTTGTGGGGGAGTATCATGTACTCATGTAAATGCTAAAAGATCCAAATTTCCATTATTTTCCCGCCCTCGTATTATTGGGACAAAATTCATGGTGACATTATCGGGAGACAGAATGAACATATAATAGCTGGATAAACACTAGACGACAGTCCTTAGAATTAGGTCATTGGTGTTCCAAGCAAGGTTGTTAAACCCCTATCGAACTCCCCGGTTGGACCCGGTTCAACCCGAGTCGGGCTTCAAAACGGCCTCCAGAAAACCCTCCGGTCTGACCCCTAAACAGGAAGAAGAAGAGAGGCAGAAGAGAGGAAAAGGAACGAAGGAAGGGAAATGGTAGGTGGATCATGGAGGTTAGGTAGATTTATTTTGTTGAAAATAAGTTTTTAATAGATATATGTAAGATAAATTTTATTTCACTCATTAAATTTTTAATTACTACTTTATTTGTATATATATTTAGAAAACGTCTAAAACGGCTCAAACCGGCCGGACTCCAATCAGACCATTAAACCTCAAACCCCTTGCTTGACCGGCTCAATGACTTAAACCGGTTTGACAACCTTGGTTCCAAGTGGACTGGTCCATCAAAGGATAATGTTGGTTGGCTGGAATAATGCCTCCGAGGTTCTTTCTGTGCAAAAAGGAAAAGCAACAGCATTTGGTGCTGTTTTGTTGCTTTCCAATGGACTACTGATCTGATATGTTGGATGGATGCCCTGCTATTGTAAACGGATAGAACTAGCTAGGGTGGAATCTATTAGCAAATAAGCTTATTCGAAACAGAACCCTCACACGTTTACTGTCAATTCGTCATGGTTGGATGCCGAGCTAAGATCTTATCTTGAACTTCATAGCATTTAGAGGCTGAGCTCTCATAGTCAGATTCGTCATCTTTTCGTTAACAACAGATAAGGACATCTGCAAAGAAAAGAGTCTCAGTCGTGTTTTGGTTGCGCGAGAGACTCTCGACATGCTCGAATAGGAACAAAATCGGTAGTCATGGTTGTAGTTTTGATTTCTCCATCTGATGAATCATGAAGAAACCGAGGGGAACCTAAGGATTTCTCAGTTCTCAGTGATCCAATAGAAGCAATAAATTACGTATTATAAGAATCTTAAGAGATACTAACGTCATTATCATTTGACAAATGTTGCACCCACAATTCTTGATTGGAGGGAGCAAAATGAGGAATCCCACATAAGATCAGCAATAAATAAAAAGATTCATCAGAATTCTAACACAACAAGGAACCCTTTTTTCCTTATTATTTCATTGGCACTAAAAGACTTGAAAAAAAGATGTTTAGTTGGTTTACTGCCAAGTGAAAGAGAGTGTCTGGAGATGATGATCATGAGAGCCACTTCCATTCCCATTAGACCCATCATCATCACCAGGTCCAACCTGAAACAGACCACCATTACTATTACTATTGCTGCTTCCATCAGCTGCTACCAAAACAGACCCAATTGATTCACTTTCAATGCCTAGTCCATTGTAGCAGCTGCTCAAACTATGGACTGAATTCTGGACTTGTGGGTTAATAGGAGGGTTGAGATCAGGATGAACCATTGGAGGAGATGACAGAAGAGAGAGAGCACGATTAGAATCGACAAACAGTTTGGACGATTGTAGACCACCAGATGAGTCGCCTGCTGCTTCTTCGTCTTCTGCAGTGGGTTGTTGTAGGAAAGGGAACTGCTTCCCTGCTTTGTTATAAGAACTATGGTGGGATAATGTTGAAGAAGTAGGGAGAAGAAGACTGCTTTTGTGACTGCTGTTGTTGCTTGCTATGAAATTCAAAGTGGATTGTCTGCTGCTGCTGCTGCTGGTGTTGTTACTGTAATCTAGGATTGGCTCATTCTCAGATTTAATGGAGCCAGCATGCCAATGTGAAGTTGCAGCAAGTGTGGTTGAGAAGATCTGTGAGCTGCCAAACTGCAAATATCTTGTACCTGCTGCAATAGGTATGGCAAAAAGTTTGTCTTTACCAAACCCAACATCAATTCACTAACTCATAAAGTGGTGGAACATCTATCGACACATCTAGGACTAGAACCCACAAAGAGCTGGTTGCTTTGCCATCTGATTACTACCTAAATAGTTGGTAATCTTTTTTTTATATATAATTGTGCAATTCACATGATTGTTTAAGAGAATGACGTAGTGTACCATGGTGATCAGAGAAAAGCCTGGCGGAATTCATAGAGAGGGAATCAGGCTGAGGCTTCCTTCTTCTTCTGTTGTGCCCATCAAGTCGCTTTCTGCAGCTCCTTTTCCCTTCATCAAATTCTCCTAACGAGTGGAACCTATACAGTAATTAAAACAGAAACTCACAATCAATGGAAACAAAGGCCTTAAGGATCATTAACAAAACTCAAAAACTTCACTCTGAGTTCGAAACTTGGAGCTAATAGCACATTAAGAAATGAAAATTAGAGGGAAACTGGTTAACCTGCTACACTGCTGGCAGAAGCGTTGTTCATGGCCCTTAATGAAAACTCTGGCGGTTTTCGAGTGGACCTCACAGACCTTATGCCGTCGGTGGTAATCTCTGCACTTGCCAAGGTCTGCAGTGCAACCATCAACCAAACAAGATGGGATTTGGGTTCCATTGCTAGGCAACCTAGCTCTCTTCGACGGTCCCAAAGATGAAGATTCCATGGCAGAGTCCCCTAAAGAAGAAGCAGAGGAAAAACAGCACTCTACTCTCTTCTCACCTGGACCAAAGTTCCTTCCAAGCTTCAGATCCACCGAGTAAAGTTCAGACCTTTGATCAGGCACTAGAAACTGAGAGATGCTTGGTTCACCAAACCCGGCTGCTAAACCAAACGGGTCCTTGAAATTACAACCCATGGAAAGAGGAACATTCTTGTGTACTTGAGGAGCAAAGCTACAACACACTGCAACCCAAAATGATCATCAGTATTAAGACTATCTTCCTTTTCTTTCTTTAGGAATGGACAAGTGCAGCTCAATTTACCAGACTCGGTCTCTAATATAGAGCAAGTTGTTTGTGATGGAAGGGCCTGTAGGAGGTAAAATTGCAGGGTGAAAGGGGGCAAGGGGGCCACAACAAGTAAATGAGAGAGCTTTGCAGCAATAAAGTACCAATCTTTTTGATACCCAATTGGAAAAAAGAGACTGAAAACTTGTCACATCAATGGCGTCAGCCATCTAATCCCAGCCACAACTCAAAGGCAAGCTGCCTGTAAAAAATGAAGTGAAAGATATCTCTCTCCCTCTCTCCCTCCCTCTCTCTCTAAGTAACTGACAGTAATTGTGATTCCTATCATAGCAGGCTTGGTAATACCATATTTTGCATAAACAAAAGAGATGAAAGTTTGTGTTGGAGAAGTGTCAAATTACGCCAACTATAGCATCTGAAATTTGTGCCAACAGCTGCAACTTCTTTTACAAAGAAAAAAGCTGCAACTTCAAGCTCTTATTGATCCTCCTTTCATTTGGGTTTCCAATGTTTGCCAACTAAGGCCATACATAGAGAACCAACCCAGAAAAGATTTACTGACACACGGTAAAAATTTGAGCAGAGTTGGTAAATGGGTACCTGAGAGAGGAGCTGGAAGTAAAGAAAGGTGCAATCTTGGTAAGAAATAAAAACACCTCCAAGCTGGTAACTTCGCCAGAAAGTAGAGAAAGGAAAGAGCTTTTCGCAGGGCATATAAATGAAGAGATGGCGAGAGGAGAGAGAGAGAGAGAGAGTCGTAGCTCTTCTAGTTAGTAGGAAGCAACATAATCAATGGTGAAGGGAGAAGAAGGGGATGGAGAAGTAATGAGTGTTATTGGCAGTAGTAGTTGAAAGTAGCAACAGTAGCCTTTATTTTCACTGACAAGAACCAGAAATACTTGATCAATCAACAAAAGAGTTTCGTTTTTTTCTTTCTTTTGTCTGAAAAAGGGGTGTACATTGATATTGAGAGCTGGAAGTTGGGGGAAGTGGAATTATTGCAGAGTGAGAAGAGAAGGGAAATTGGATAATGTGAACAGCTTTTGAAGTGTATGCAATGGAAATGGAAATGGAAATGGAGGTGAAAGAGGGCTGGCTAGCTGTTCCCCTGGTTCGTCACTGCCTTCCTTCCCCTTTTGGCTTTTCCGTGTAGCCTTGTGACCATAATGATTTCAACTAACAAAGAAAAGAGAAGGGTTAGTAGCAGAGAGAGACTCAGAGATAGAAAATTACAGTTTTCTCTCACAAAAACGTGTTACTCACTTACTTAAAGGGGACTAATTATGAGTGGGTAAGTTTAAATTGAGCTATTCTCCTTTTGCTGGTGCTTTTCTTATCTGGATATTTATTATGTGACATGGAATTATGTGAAGTGCTTGCGTGGTTTAAATCTCATATTAACCATGTTTTTATGATGTTAATAACTTTGTGTTAAAGTTTCATACAAATCACCCAGTTTAGAATCGTAGTCGTCGGATTGAGCTCACAGCCAATAATTATGAACAAACCAAACCAAAACAAGTGAAAGTAGCAGGGGTGGGAAGAAGTGGAAAAAGGAGTGGTGAGGAAAGGAAGATGGAGCAGTTGCTTTCAACTTTTGGTAAGTGAGAGAGAGAGAGAGAGAGAGAGAGAGAGAGAGAGAGGGAGTTTAATTTCTTGTGTTCCACGTTGCAGGATGCTTCCCCTTCTTCTTCTTCTTGTCGTAACTCGATGGAACTCTCTTCTCAGTCCAATTCCAAATATATAACTCGATCTCTGTCTGTCGTTTTCCTCAGTCTGGTTACATGTCGTATGATTCTGGTTACTTGCTAAGCAGTCTCGGGTTCTGGTTCGTATGGGAACTCACTCACCAACTAGACTTATAGTTAGTTTGCTCCGTTTTTGGGCCGTACAAGTTCCCAAGAGCTAATTTTAGCATTTAGGACTTGGGAGTCGTCGAGTCAACGTCAACCCTTAAGCTGTTGGGTGCGACCTTGTTTCACATTCTCATTTGACCCAGTGCAGTGAGTTGTATTGGATAAGTTATAGTAAATATAATTTTAGCTCGTTTCATTTTGTAGGTCCAGATTGCGTTAGATTATAGTTTAATGCGTAATTATTGTGGTATATACCACTTCATACTACACACTAACGTGAGAGACTGTCAATCAAACAAGATTGTGGCGTTCTGGTCTCACAATATGGATCTAACAAGTTTACTCTGTGCTTGTACTGCCCATAGCCGCGAATTGATCAAGCTCGCAGTTTGTTTTGTGAAATGTATAAGTGAATATTTGGTGTTATTTTAATCTGAGTTAGTGATTGAGTTAGTGAGTAGCAGATCACACTATTTGCAACGATTTTATCCCGTTTATAGTGGCCCGAATCATTTCAGACCACATACTAACATTGATGACAGTCAACCATTCCATGTTGTGGTCCTAGTTTCATAATCTGAACCAAACTATCTAATTACCGTAATTCCCATACTTACTGTTTAGGTATGGATTCCCTACCCTAGTTAGTTAATAATTAATTCCAAACTATCTAATAAAGAATAATTTTCTCTGTGGTTTGTCTCAACTCACTTCTCCCTAAACCTTTTAGGTTGGAGAATCCCATCATGGTTTGCTTTAAAGCAAGAATTTACGAATATGGAAACCAGCCATCATTTTACTCTTATCACCAACAGACAGACGCTCTCTCTCTAGTCCCTAACAGGTTAGAGGAAAGGAAACTCGCAATGCATGTTTTCTCCATTTTATTGTTAGACTTTGTTTGGAGTTTGGGTAAATTGAATTTCTTCTCTTAGTTCTCTTTTTTTTTTTCCTTTTTTTTTGTTGTTGCTGCAGCAGTTCTCTTCTTTCATATATTCATTGGAGAATTTTAAAGTTATCAGGAAATTCCTTTATTTATTAACCTTCATAGACTGGTCCATATTTAGAATCCTTGAGACTTTGACATAGAAACGTGTCTATATAATAGATCGTGCGTTCAAAGACTCGCAAACCACAACCAAATTATATTATGATATCTTTATCATAACAACAATTCTGTTGTGCCGACACAACACCGGTGTCATTCACACTTAATCGGATATAGCCTTTTTTTGCTTTGTGCCGTGTTTTGTAATAAACAAACAGTTTTCTCGTCATTAGATAGTTCTAGGTTGCTTAATTCTTTTGGGGCACTTTAATTTTACACAGAGGTTAGTTATTTGATTTTTTTTATCTTATGCCCCAGTCATTTTAGAAATTTAAATCCCTTTTAAAAATAACAAGAATTTGTCATCTAATGATTGCATGAAGATGTCCCTAAAGCATGTAGAAGTATTTTAGTGGTAATATCAATAGTTTGAATTTGAAGGTTTCATGTTTGAGTTTTTTTCCGTTAAAGATTCCATAAGAGTTTGGCAAGACTCTTATCAATCAAGCGATCCCACTTGATTGTGTTCAGTATCTATCCCCACGTATCTCTGAATTTTATGTTCGATTGAAGATCAATTCGAGCTATCCGAACTTGAGTCGAAGCTGCGCGACTTTGACCAGAAGAACCTAAATTTTTACGAGCTCGAGTATAACTTATTATATTTTTTGAGATTCTATAGTGGTCAATGAGTTAATGCATTAGGATTCAAGATAAACCAATAACACTTTATTGATCTTAAACTAAGTATCTAGCAACAATTATTGATAGACGTTGGAATCCTCCACCTACAAAACTTTTCTCACTTTCTAAAATCTTAAATATTTCTAGATATTTTTAGGTCTACCTTCACAATATCATTAAATGGATAATTTTTCACTCAAAGTGAATTGAGTTATTTTTTATTCTAATATATATCGTTAGATTAGACAAAGTTCGACGATTTATATGTTTAAATTTGAAAATTAAGATATGCTTTTAGGCTAAGCTTACACAAATTCTCTCATTATTATTTGGGCTAATACCACTACAATGCCTGAACTATCAACAAAATGTCATTTGCGTACTATTTTATTCAATATCACAAACTTATCTCGTTGTATGATGCTTTAGTGATATTTGTATCTTGACGCTTTCGTTGGCCGTTAGAGATAACAGTTGACCAGACGGTGGTCAAAGTGATGTTGATTTTTTTAATTTTTTTGATGTGACAAAAATTAAATAGCCAAATAGATGCCACGTCATTGACGTATCAGATTATTTTTAATTCAAAATTAAAATTCAATAAGAAAAATAAAATAGTATATAAAGTAAAATAAAAATGACAAAATTAATAGTGGCTACTTAACTTCTTTAAGAACAAATATTGAAAAAAATAAAAACCAAAAAGACATATCCTTTGTCTAGAACATATAAGTCATAGTTAGTAATAATCTATTTGATATTGTATATATGAATGTACTTATTTTTAAATAGTTTCATTTTTTACGTCAATTTGATGGCTCTCGACTAAGCATGTATAACGCGTTTAACATTCATTTTTATTGAATTAAATTGATAACTTTGAAAAATAAACTATTCATTTATTTATTATATTACTATTATTATACGATTAAAAATATCATTAGTTTAAATTCGAAATAAAATACTCGTACATATTTTATACATAACGTAATATATTTTACTAACTATAATTTGAACACCCAAAAATTGAAGTAAAATCTAGAAACGTGAATAGGAGAATATAATTTAATATTTCCCATTAACCACAACCGGCAATAAAAAAAAAACAGCCAACACCCGGTTAAAGAGTGACGGCTCCGATGCAGTGCCTGAACAATAGAATTCCCCTTATCATAAAATAATCATCCAAGAATAACTGACAACCTGATAAGTATTAATTAGTTTAACAATACTCATTATAGCAATCCAATCGCTCGGATTTTCTAGTTTTAGTTTATTAAAAATATTAAATATTGAGTTAGCAAGAATCACAATGAACTTCCTAGACTTTTTTGCCCTTCCCTAAAAGGATTAAAATTGTGAACTAACTAGTATGCCTTTACAAAAAGATAATATAAATCAGTACTTCAATGATTTTACAACTTGTTTAATAACTTCCCTCAACACCTTTCTACAAAAGGAATGTAAAGGTCAAAGTAGCACCTAATAAAAGCTAAAAACTGGTTTGGTAAAAGCTATTTCCCTTAATCTTTTAAACAGAAAGAGAAATCATAAACTATTTAGCTTTACATCCAATTCCTCCACTAAGCTACACTTCCACATCTGTCTATTCCTAACAATCCCCCCTAATACAAGTTTTCTTTCTTTAATCTAACCTCATGGACCCCACTATAATGATGCATCAAAACACTAGCACGATTAGTTTATCACGTAAAACTATAAGTGGCATGGTCACGGTTGGTTTAGGATACGACCCAAACTGAAACTTAAAAAAAAAAGCAACAAACAATCAGTTATCTATTCTTATTTTCTAAACCTGTGGGCTCCTTTTCAGGGACGGAGCCAGAAATTTAGGTAAATGGGGCAATTTAAATTTTTAGAGGTCATAATTTAACGTAAAAGAGAACTCATAATTAGTAGGTTAGAGTTCTTTACAGTTATTAAAATAATTCAAAATACCATGTAAATTAAAATTTATTATGCTATTTTTTACAACATAGATTATTAATGGTGAAAGAATATTTTTTGCAAAAGAACTTAAATCTTTTGCAACATTTTGACATTATTAGGATAATAAGACACAAAAATAACGAAATTTGCTAAAAAAAATTTAGTCTTAGGAAAATAGCTGAAAAGGACTTCAATTGTAGCAAACATTTGAGAAAATTAAGAGAAAAAATGAATCAACATAAAAAACTTGTACGACTTGGAAGATTTGGGGAGTGAAAAATTTTAAATTGAAAATTTAGTGTAAAAGAGGAGATGGGGGGAAATTTGAGGATATCAGCATACATCTCTACCAACCTTCAAACCCTAAACCTAATGGTTAGGAAAGAATGCCAAGCCATTAGCCTACATATCGCATTCATGTTGCATAACCAGGTTCTAGAATGTTTGGGTGGGGGGGAGCTGGCTCCGTCCCTTCTCCTGGTCATATACTATTAGTATATCCCAATACGCATCTTGTTCAAGGAAGAAGAAAAGAAGAAGAGCACATATCTCTTTCCGGTGTATCATATTCTACCGGCTATGTATGTGTACTTATCATAGTTTTCTTGTTTCTTAACTGGAATACAAATACACAATTTTTTCGTCATCACTTCATGATACATTGGAAGTATGATTCAAACATCTTGGTCAATCTCAACAATAGCACCATGATTATGCAATGTACAAAAAAAAAAAAAAGCACGCTAAACAAATAGGTTTTTACTTTTTACACAAAAATTGTGCAACCATATAATATATATAGAATTGTTACAAATGGCAAAATAAAACAACATGCAATTAGAATCAACCATAGGTGTTTCTCGGGGTTCGATGGGATATATGTATTTATTTCTATTTTGGGTATACCATAATACCAACCTAGAGTAAGTAACTTTCAGTTTAACCACCCAAATCACCTACAGCCAACTAATCTTACACTAATCCCCATCCTACGATGTGACCCATTACTTACTAAGTGGGGCCAGGAAAGAAATTTGATTGAAAACGAAAAGTGAGGCGAGGCGGTCAACAACAACAACCATTGTGCTGTTCTCATACAGAAACTAACATTTGGGCTGTCGGCACCCATTTTATTGGGGTTGAGTCCTCCTCCAGCGTGAAATCAATTAGGGGTGGCTATACGGTCCGGTCCGGTTAAATTGATTCGAATTGATCTAGTCTCAGGCCGGTCTTTTCGAGAATATAAGGACCAAAGATTGGATTGGATACAGTCCGGTCTTGACCTGGTTCTATCCCAATTCGGTATTGATTTTAGATTGAGCTTGTGGGGATTTAAGTGGCCTGAGGACTCAAAAGGTGAAGAGTTGGCTAAATTTTGGGTGTTGGACTCTTTTATCCGGTCTTTATCTTGTTTTCGATTCGGTCCCTAACAGTTTTTTTACCTCAAATCTAAACCCTAAGATTGGATTGGATTGTTTGCTATCCGGGTCTGATCCGGTCCCAATCCAAATTATAGGGTCCGATTTTGAGTAAACCTAAATAGCCCAGACCAAATATCCAACCCTAAAATCAATGGCTTCAATTATGTAATCAGAGCCTCGAAACGTTAAAAGACGTCTTCTCCACGACTAGCAAAAACCCAATGGTCCTAGACTCTCAAGAGAGAACAATAATGGAAGAAGGCAACAAGTCAGTAAGAACTGCGTCAGCCACTAGACAAAAGTTGCTTCCCCTGCCGGGTCACTGGTTCAAACATACAACACGTGGCCGGGTTGCACTTCCAGTCCTCACAAAGTCACAGCTCTAACAATAAGTGAGGCCACGGATCAAAATGAAGGTTGAATTACTATCAAAAATTGATATAAGATCCAACATAATTTTTTCTTTTAACAAATCGAGTTATTCTTTTAATAAATTGAGTTATTGAGACCAACTGATTTGACAGTTACATATATGTGTAGCCACTAACTTTTTGGATGACTAAGAAAACGATCACTTAAGTTTACACAAAACACAATCTAACAGACTCAAATCACCAAATTATATCCAATCGTAAAAGAGTGACAAAGTAAACAGTGACTGCTAACATGACACATCAAGCGAATGGGGCTAACCGGATATTTTGGACGGTTTAGGTTCATTAGAATAATAACATACCTGGAAAAGACCTGATGGCGAACCACCGAAATCACAATTAGTATAAGCTTATACTAGGCGATCGAAGGAACCTGCATGTCATTAACAAAATTCCCAATTCCTTCATGCAATTTAAAATGATGTACTTAGAACTTTTGCTGGACCCAATAATCAATATGGCCTTTACCCAACAACAACAATAAAAAAAAAAAGAGTACAATAGAGAGGTAGACTTAGCATGCAAGTTTATGGACCAGATTCACCAGTATTCATATTTAATGTGGGAATTAAAGGCTAAGTGGAACCAACGAGCAGAGGTTGGTTAACTAGATTTAATTATTACGTCGATGAAATAAGACGTCATTGTTGGCTGCTTCCTAAATTCTGGGAAAACAGCCAAAGTAGGGTTCCACTTCCACCCTGGAAGAATTTCACGCGACGCGAGAGCTGTGGGGGATTAGAAGCGCGTAACACCAACTGACATCATATTTATGACTATGCAAATGCAAATGCAAATGCAAATGCAATGCAGACAAAGAAACCAGGTCCACCAAAGTAATTATGAAGGCACACAGATGAAACTGACTATCCGTGTACTCTGTGGCAAACTCTGCACCGATGAAATGGGTGGGAATTCCGAATCAATAACGCTGGTAAGAAGACGAAATATATATTGTCAGGCATTCACCTTGGACTTTAGCATCTTCTGGCTGTTGCTGAAGTACTGATTGGGATGGTTAATTCCAGCGTCGTTTGGACACCCATGGATGGCTTCGAACGTTAACGTGCATGCCAACTGCGCAGGCAGGAGCAAGGTTTGGTTAAATGACGAGGGTAAAAAGAATACAAAGAGCAAAATCAGACAGAACATCGGTGATCTTGAGATTGACCTGATAGTGCTTGTGTCGCACTTTGTCCATCACATCCTCCATCCCGCCACTGCTTACTCCCATCTTACACAGTGCCACTCTTAAGTTCTCTTCACTATTGGAACCATGTTAAACAGTAGAAAGGTTAAAAGATAAATTTGACAAGAGAGTGTGGCCCAGATATCACAAAATAAACAAGAAGCTTTGAAGTTAACGGTTAGCTTGGAAGTTGGAACAAACAAAACCGTAATTTGTCAGGATTCTAAATGCAGAATTGCAGAAGAAATGGAGAAGAAGAACAGAGTCGTGGAAGAAGAAGAAGGGCGAAATGTACAAGAAGGAGGAAACGTTTCTACCAGCAACAGAAGAGTTTTATTGAAACTATGTCGTTTTACTACAAGCTGATTGTAATAGCAGTTAGCCGTTTAATTTATTGTTTAATCTTCAAATTGACGAATGGAAAGCAGCCAAGTGGCATGCCCCTGTAATCCATTTCGTCTTTACTTTTCTGCTGGACTATATAATCAAATGGAGGATCTCAGTGACTGCCGAAGATCTCTCCTTCCACAAAACCCTTTGCTAGGTTTTCTCTTATGGTATCAGAGCCGCCGCTCTAAGGGATTCCGCCATGTCAGGTACTAGCTCACCGTCACCCAACACACCGCCGAACACTGGCAACGGAGCTAGAGTCATCGATCCACACAATGTTCAGTTTGGGTCGTTTGGAGCTGAAGGAAACACTGGGCACTCAGGCAATGCAGAGGTGATCATGTTTGGTAATCCTCTCTACCTGAACCCTAATGAGAATCTGAGCCTACCCATCGTTTCTAAGTTGATGGATGGCAACAACTATAGCATGTGGAGTAGATCTGTGTTGAATGTGTTAAAAACAAAACACAAAATGGGTTTTGTGGATGGGTCTCTACCCAGACCAGCAATTCATGACCCGCAGTTTCACCTATGGGATGGTTGTAACACAGTAGTGCTTACATGGATTTTGAACTCACTGAACAAGGATATAAGGCGTTCAGTGATGAGGCATGATAATGCCAAAGTTTTGTGGGATGAGTTAAGGCGCAGATTTGGTCAATTAAATGCCAACAGACTCATCAACTTGGAAGACGAGATACATAAGTGCAAGCAAGGAACTCAAAGTATAACTCAGTATTATACCCAAATCAAAAGCTTATGGGACGAGTATACTGAGTATAACCCCTTTGTGGCATGTAATTGCCTTCCAGGGAACATCAATCCATGTACAGCTGTTGAAGCTTTTGAGAGAAAATAGGAAACAGACTTACCTAATTCGTTTTCTCAGAGGTCTGAATCCTGATTTTGAGATTATTAAGAAGCAGCTGCTGATGTTAAAGCCTCTACCAACTGTCACCATAGCAGTTGATGATTTACTACAATATGAACAAGAGCTGAAGGCTCATGGTGGTACTAAGAAAGGGCAATCAGTTGCCTTGGCTGTTGGAGGAGAAGGAACAAGAGACAATGAGGCAACAGATCAGGGTTCAGGGAAGAAGTTCTGTAGGTTCTGCAAGCGCACCAATCACTATATTGAAGAATGTTGGAGGTTGAAAAAGAAGAAAGAAGCTGGAGAGAAGGATGGTAAAGGTCAAGCAGGAAACCAGAGATTTGCTGGGTCAGTGTCTCAAGGAAGTTCCAGTGGGAGTGAGAATCCTACAGAAGCAAGCTACACAAGTGACACTGGCACTGTAAGTAGATCCACACTTGGCTTTACACCTGAGGAAATGGCTAGATTGAGGTATATGTTGCAGGCTGGTGCTAATCAGCCACCCATACCCAATTCCTCACCTTCACCTCCTAGCTCACCTTCCATTCGACACCAAGCCTTTTCTATGTCTCGGTATTTACCACCATTTCCTAACTTTGAAGGTAAATATGTCCTTTCCTCCCAAGCAAGTGTTAATAGCAATCACTTAGTCAACTTCTGGATCCTAGATACAGGTGCATCTGACCACATTGCATGTTCTCTAGCTTTATTCATTGATCATAAGCGAGTCCATGACACTTTTGTGCACCTACCAAACACCACAAAGGTTCCAGTAACTCATACAGGAACTGTAAAACTTCCAACAGGATTGCATTTGTACAATGTACTCCTGGTTCCTAGTTTTTCCTTCAATCTAGTGTCAGTAAGTAGGCTCACTCGTGACTTACCCTTAGCCTTACACTTCCATTCTGATCTTTGCCAAATCCAGGACCTACTAAGCAAGACGACGATTGGTTTAGCAAAAGAATCTAGAGGACTATACCAGCTTAGTTTTTCAAGCCCTTCACTCACACTTCCAGTCCACCTACCACAAGCTTCCAGTGTTTACAACTTCCATCCTCACCAAGTTGATCTCTGGCATTGGAGGCTAGGACACCCTAGTAGTGATAGGCAATCCTTGTTACACAAGCTAGATTCTACTGTTTCAATTTCCAAATCAGAACACAGTAATGTCTGTCATCTTTCTAAACACAAGAGACAACCATTTCCTATTAGTACCAGTACTGCAACAGAACCCTTTCAGTTGATACATATCGACATTTGGGGTCTTTTATCAGTTGTTTCCTATGATGGTTATGTCTATTTTTTAACTGTGGTTGTGATTGCACAAGAGCAGTGTGGGTTTATCTTATGAAACACAAAAGTGAAGCCAGAGATTTGTTTAAAGGCTTCTGCCAATTGGTTAAAAATCAGTTTGGCACAACTGTCAAAACAGTAAGAAGTGATCAAGGAAAGGAATTTGATATGTGTGACTTTTACATGGCTGAAGGAATAGAGCACCAGATGTCCTGTGTGTATACCCCAGAGCAGAATGCTAGGGTAGAAAGGAAGCATCAGCACATTTTAAATGTAGCTAGATCACTTAGGTTTCAATCTGGCATTCCATTGCTTTACTAGAGTGACTGTATAATGCATGCAGTTTACCTTATTAACAGAATCCCTACACCAATTTTACACAACAAGTCCCCATATGAGGTCTTGTACAAGAAAGCTCATTTCTTAGGTCATTTAAGGGTTTTTGGTTGTTTGGTGTATGCTAGTACAATAGCAGCAAGGAGATCTAAATTTGATCCCAGAGCCAGGCAGTGTGTACTACTTGGTATTCCTTCTGGCCTTAAAGGATACAAGTTTCTTGATCTCAAAGATAACCAAGTTTTCATCTCTAGAAATGTGGTGTTTCATGAGTCTATTTTGCCTTTTAGACATGATTCCCACACTACTGTCCCTTCTTTTGATCCTACCACCTCACCTCAAATTCCAATTTCAACTTCCCATCCACCAATTCATGCTCCTGGTCTAAGCCTACCTCCCACCCTTCCTACACCTGTATCACCCTCTGTTGATGGGGGACACTATATACCTCCTACAACAGAAGAATCTGCAGCTGAGCCTATTAATGATGACACTGAAGCTGAGCCTTATAGCCATCAAGATTTTGATTTGGAAGTTGAGTTAGACCCTGAGTTAGAGCCTCAGCAGGACTTCGAGCCATCAAAGAGACCACAGAGATCTCATAAACTACCTGCTAAGTTTGACAATTGTGAATTGGATCCAGATCTGAGTTTTGGGGCTTTTGGTTCTTGTGCAACAGCTTCTAAGTATCCTATTGAATTTGATTTGGATCACTTGAATGCTGCTAATAGAGCTTTTGCACTGAGTGTTATCTCACAGATTGAGCCAGCTACATTTTATGAAGCAATGCAATCATATGTGTGGAATAGGGCTGTACAAGAGGAGCTAGGTGCCCTGGAACAGAACCAAACATGGGATGTGGTAAAGTTGCCAGATGGAAAGAAAGCCATAGGCTATAAGTGGGTTTTCAAAATCAAAAGAAGAGCAGATGGCACTATAGAAAGGTTTAAGGTTAGGCTGGTGGCAAAAGGGTACACTCAGGTCTATGGAATTGACTTCCTAGACACCTTTTCCCCCGTAGCTAAGATAAACTCAGTGAAAGCATTACTTGCAGTGGCTGAAGTCAAAAATTGGACATTAGAACAGTTAGATGTATCTAATGCCTTCCTACATGGGGATTTAGAAGAAGAAGTGTACATGAAAATACCAATGGGACTTGATCTGAATGGTATTGATCCAAAAGGAATGGCTTGCAGGCTAAAGAAATCGTTGTATGGGCTTAAACAAGCATCAAGACAGTGGTTTGCAAAGTTGACAGGTTTTCTGTTGAAGAATGGGTTTGCTCAATCAGCTTCAGATTACTCTCTATTTACCAAATGGGTGCATGGCAGAATTGTGGTACTGCTAGTGTATGTTGATGATAATCATAGGAGGAGATGCACCAAAGGATATAGAGCAGATCAAGAAAGCATTAAGCAAAGAGTTCAAGATTAAACTGCTAGGACCTCTACAATATTTCATTGGAATGGAAGTAAACAGGACTGCAGATGGGATCAGTGTTTGCCAAAGGAAGTATGCCTTGGAGCTGCTAAAAGACACTAGGTATTTGGAAGCAAAAGGATGCATTACACCTTCAGATCCTAAAGTGAAGTTGGCAGCAAATCAAGGAACACCTCTGGAAGATGCAGAAGTTTATAGAAGGTTAATTGGAAGGTTGCATTATGTGACAATCACCAGACTTGATTTAACATACATAGTGCAACAGTTATGTCAATTCCAGAAACAGCCTTGTAGTGACCATCTACAGGCAGCCTTCAGGGTGTTAAGGTACTTGAAGAACAACCCTGGCCAAGGCATACACTTTAGCAGCAAGGCAGACTTGAAGCTGGTGGGATTTACAGACTCAGATTGGGCCAGTTGTCCAGACACAAGAAGGTCTACAACTGGATATTGCACCTTTCTGGGAATTTCTTTGCTGACTTGGAAGAGTAAGAAGCAAACTACTGTATCTAGATCTTCATCAGAGGCTGAATACAAGGCACTAGCTTTACTGGTCTGTGAAGTTGAATGGTTGAAGGGTTTGTTAGCAAAATTGAGTGTTAAAGTTCCTTTGCCTATCTCAGTTTACTGTGACAACAGGTCAGCAATACACCTAGCAGAGAACCTAGTATTTCATGAAAGGACAAAGCATATAGAAATCGATATGCATGTGACCAGAGAAAGATTAAAATATGGGTTGATCAAGCTCCACCATGTAAGTACTTTCAATCAGTTGGCTGACTTGTTCACGAAAGGGCTGGATAGAGCGCGAATGCAGGCATTGTTGGTCAAGTTGGGAGTCAGAGTGACTGCCACAACTTGAGGGAGGCTGTCAGGATTCTAAATGCAGAATTGCAGAAGAAATGGAGAAGAAGAAGAACAGAGTCGTGGAAGAAGAAGGGCGAAACGTACAAGAAGGAGGAAACGTTTCTACCAGCAACAGAAGAGTTTTATTGAAACTATGTCGTTTTACTACAAGCTGATTGTAATAGCAGTTAGCCGTTTAATTTACTGTTTAATCTTCAAATTGACGAATGGAAAGTAGCCAAATGGCATGCCCCTGTAATCCATTTCGTCTTTACTTTTCTGCTGGACTATATAATCAAATGGAGGATCTTAGAGACTGCTGAAGATCTCTCCTTCCACAAAACCCTTTGCTAGGTTTTCTCTTATAATTTCTGTTTATCTCAAACCGAACTACTCCATTTCCTGATACATTTCCTGGTTATGTTGCAGGGAAAGGTTGAAAATTAGGAAACAGAGAGTTCTACTTGACGTTTCCTATGACTATCAAAAGTTGTACTGTTAGGAATTGATTAAGAGTTCCGATGACAATCATGTATGTTGTCTATTATTGCAAACCAAACAATAATTTTGACTTGACATGAACTGTTTCTATTCCACTTGTAAAATATACATCTTTTCACATTTTGGTGGTTTCAGTTTGCTACAAAATTATGTGATTCAGACTTATATCGTGTTAAAATTAATATGGTTGTATGTATTCTCACAATACTTGGTAGTTCAAAAATTTCAATAATTCACCACAACAATTGCAAACCAAACTATGCTTTGTCTGATAAAAGAAATTGAAATTGATGAACCTGACTCTGATTTTCTTGTTTGCCACTTTGCCGACTACTTTCTCTTTTTAGAAAGAACCTCACTCTTATTTATAGAAACACAGCAATACATTTCCATTAGACTTGTTCCATACACCTGATTTTAAATTGGAAGTACGAGAAATCAAATCGATTCCAAATGGGTTGTAACTTGTAAGCTAGAACACAAGGCTGAATAGTTTATAGTTGGCGACTAAAAGTTCATGTGGAGCTTAGACTTGATAGACTTGATCGAAAATGATTGATTGGATCATCGTCAATCAAGTTGAGGTCGGATAAAATGACTATAGTGACCAGTTCCATGAGATGACAGAAAGGACCTGTAGGGAATAAGTTAATGGAGTTTACCTAAAATGCCGATAAGGGCATCCGTGATGATCTCCTACACTAGGAGTCAATGAGATGATCTTTTGACATGAGTAAGGCGTATAGTCCTGCATTAACCAAACACAAAGAAGCGTGTACGTAAATGAGGTCTGTCCTGTAATCTGATTTATTACTACTTGAAAGGAAGAAGACTGATATAACGTCGGAAACTCACTACTCGTTTTCCTTCTTTGCCATAATTGTGTCGAATGCTGTATGCATATTCTTTGTCAAATCTCTCTGCTCCAACCTGTCACAAAAACGTGTTAGATTACTTGATTAAATGTAATTCAGGGATGTTGCTCGTGCAAATGCTTGGGATTAGCTTACCTTTTGAGAGAACTCTGCCTTCCAGAATGCAACCGCATCATCCAACTTCAGCCCGACACCCTTAACATGAAGAAATTAACCAGTGAGTAATGTTTTCAGCGATGATATATTTAGAAACAATGCCTTAGGCTGCTGCATGTAAAAATGTAAAGACTGCAATCAATGTATCTTCATCCATTTTTAACAGATTTAGAAAGCATACTGTGTTGCGAGTTGCATAATAAGTGAAAGCCTACGTTAAGGAGTGTGGCAGTTTCCATATGAAGTCCATGAACAGACCATATTCTTTAGACAATGGAGTTAAGAAAAACCTTGAGAAAGAGACCCAATTGCATTCTCCCCCAATGCTTTAGATGATGATCCTCTCTAAGCCGCCCAACAGAACACAAAGAACCAATTATAAAAAAGCTAGACCCCCTCAAGGCTAAGGGTGGGAGGAAGTAACGTGATGAACTACAATCAAAGCCAGCCAGGTCGCTGAGAAAATAGCCGTAAGCCAACAGAACAACTTACTTTGTCGAATAGATGGCGCATGCACAAAGAAAACGAGTTCTTGGCCACATTATCGATGTCTTTGAGCGACACTTCACCAAATTCCCTTCCCTGGAAAGATGTTCCGTATGGTTATAAAAAGTTAAAGGTCATCGACTGCATTTTGAGGGATACTTGCAAGCATGTGCAGAGGTATGGGAAGTACCACAGAATAGTCAGGACCCACGTAGCTCGTTGATAAGGCTTCCACAATCTAACAAAAACAATCAAGAGAACGTTCAGCAATGAAGTGAAAATTGAATACCAACCGAGCCTCTAGTTCTCGTGATTGAATACTCACAGGGGTTAACCTATCCTTCTCCTGTTCTCTAATGGTAGACATCCATTTCCTGGAAACAGAAGTTGCATTGAATTCATAAAAGTTAAGGTTACCACGGATACCAGAGAGAGATATAAGCATCTAATGTAGTGAAAAGTCTTCTGAGGCTGAACCTTCTGACTCCATTCACCTAGAGGCTCTCATGTAGAAAACACAAACCTGTTAGTTAGAGTGAGCGCCTTTGAGAGAAGACTTCGAAACCGAGTGGCCACAAGCGACACGACCTACAATGTGGGATAGGACTAACTTCAATAAGATTCGAGGATGCCAATGAGACAAACTTCTGTAGATGTGAGAAATGCATTACCTGATTCATGGCAACATAAGCATACCCATCGCTGAGAAAAACTCTACGGCCAGCCACAAGTTCAGGAACTTCTTGAAATGGAACCTTGAGCAGCGGGTTTATAATAAGTGCAAAGGATATATGAAACAATATGAGAATACTCACTTTCAAGGTAAAGCAAACGTTCTTTCCTACACATATGATACGGTGATTTCTAGAGTAACCTATTCCCAACTGCTTCCCTCTAAATATCATCAAATGGAAGAACAACATACGTCATGCTAGATCAACAATAAGATGTAAATCATATGCAAAACTCTTCTAATCGAGCCCCTATGACCCCAGGACATGAAAAATTAATGCTATACCAGCTCCAAGAACTCGAGGAACATACCTCGTAGAATATAGAATCCGCTGCAGGTAACGTTTGGTTGATTGAGCGGGCAACCAGAGTCAGCTTGTCCTTTATAGCCTGCCAAAGGAAAGAATCTCATGACTCCATATTCAAATTTTTTGCAAATCTACTTAGCTCTCTGCTGAAACTTGAATTCAGACAGGAGAGAGTAAAAGCACCAATCACCTCAAACTCTGCAGCAGTGACTGCCTTGTAAGGAAGTTGGAACTCAGCCAGCACAGCCCTCTGTGAATTCACAACCAACTCAATTAACAAAAGATCCCCAGAGAAGCCACGAACCGAAGAAGGTTTCACGAAAAAATCTCATTGTCATCACCTGAGCCTCGGCACTCTGAAGGCGGAACCTATACCGGAATAGAGCCGTCTCCATGGAGAGAAACCACTTCCGTAAGTCCTCCCTGTTAGCAAGAATCCGAACACATGAGCAATGAAATGGAAACAATAGTAATCGAGAGAGAGAGAGAGAGAGAGAGAGGGCAAGCAGCGGAAGAGGAAGCTGCATACGTTCTACAGTACACAAGACGGAGAACGAAATGAGAAATGATGTCCTTGCTCATGAGCTCCGACGCCTGCGGATGCCTCATATTCGCTTTCCACAGTTCCGCGACCTGCAAAGGGGGGAAATCAATTAGAAGCTCGTCGAAAAAATTTCAGTTTCAAAAACCTAACTAGCCGGAAGATCCAGTCCATTGCTGTCACCAGTTTCTCCATTTCCTCGGACCTCTTCCCGCGAGACAATCAATCGGAAATCCCCGTGATCACTGGAAAAATCAAGACACCGAGAGTTAGTTAGGGAAATCAATCGAGTCGAAAAGAAATATATAGCCACGGAATACCTCGGAGCCGCTCTATGGCGTAGAGCTCGAAATCATCGAGCCGAACTTCGAGAGATGGAGCCGTGCGGTAAAGAGGAAGAGTTGGAACTCCACGGTCGATTGCAGTAGACTTCAGTTGAGGACGACGAACTATTTCCATATTTATTTCTCACAAGCGGCGGATGAACGGAACGCCGGGGAGAGAGGTGAGAATGGAGAAAGAGTGATGCAACGGCGACTGCCGAAAAGAAGAGAGATACACTGGCCAGAAAGAGCGGATAATTTTCTCTCGGAAGATTTGAAAGAGGGAATGATTAGGCCGGTCAGTAAATTTGAGTTTTCTCCAGGATCTTGCTCTCATTGTCAGTCGGCCAATGGCGCTAAGGGAACGGCTGTACTGGCGGGAAAAAGATTGGGCTTTGGGAAGAGAAGAACTCGCTTTGTGGATTTTCATTTCACAACGCGCGGGGATGGGCTGGATCCTTTCGGCCCATTCTCTTCCCAGAATAAGGCCCATGCGTCTTGACAGCTTTTTTTTTTTAAAATACCACATTTGCTTACTGAAATTACTAAATCGTGTCATGTTTATTGACTAGAAAAATTTAATATCAATTTTGGTCACTCGAATTACTGAAACTTGTCATGGAGTTGGACGGAAACTAACGGGAGAGTGACTAAATATGACATGTTTCAATAATTCGAGTGACCAGAGTTGCCCAGAGGCTACAGGGGAGTGACCAAATGTGACCTGGTTCGATAATTCGAGTGACCAAAATTAATATTAAATTTTTCTAATGACTAAACATGACAAAATTTAGAATTGACTACTCTCTTTTGATAATGTCTCTCTCAACTCAATTCTTCCAAACGAAGGGCAAAAGAAAAGAGACAACCTCTGATAATGTCTCTCTCAACTCAATTCTTCCAAACGAAGGGCAAAAGAAAAGAGACAACCTCCATGCCATTACCAGGCTCTAATCCAATGAGAAAAATTAAAAACCAGAAACAGAAACGCTGCAGAGGCACACATTTTCGTTTGTCCAACTAATGATGGATGAGAAAAATCCAAAACATAAATAATTATGCTGTTTTTTTTTTCCTTCTTCTTCTTTTTGTTTCATCTAGCACAGGAAAGCAGTTAAAATGAGTTACAGATCAAATGCTGTGTGACTGTCCTGCAGCTTCTCTCTAATTTGAATTTCATTTAAGTCTAGTGTCTAAACTCCTAGTAATAATAAACCTTTACATAGCCAGGTAAAGGGCTTTCTTTGATAATCTTAAAAGTGTTAACGACATCCTCTACAAAAATTTGCTAGGGTGGGTACTAAGATAGAAGAAATCTCTCAGGGAACGATGACTAACTTTTATGAACTTCCCTTTTAAGAGAAATCTCTCATTCACCTCCAGGTCGTCTTAGTACTGTGCCTGTGACGCTGCTGAAAGCTCTCCAGAGAAATGATGGCCTCTGCAGAACTGAAGACTCTCCTCCATTCGTTACTTCTGGAGTAAAAATACCGTTCCAAATGCCTTGACTGGTCAACTCAGTAACGTCAGCAACCCCGTTACCCTGTTGGACAAGAGTTGAATTAGCACATTGATGACAGTTCATGAACACACGTAGAATCAGAACCAGGTAGAAAGATCGTGGGGTTTGACCTGCTGAGTAGAGGGTGACAATACAACTCTTCGAGGAGTTTGTTCAACCTCAGGAGATAGATCGGAAGTAGCAGGCCTTATCGATAGTCCATCGGCAGCAGGTGGCAAAGCCCTCTGGAAATCCGACAGGAGAGAGAGAGAGAGAGAAGCAGTAGTGAGATTTCTTACAAGGACAAAAGACTGAAGAATAGGATAGTGAACTAGTGACGGGCGTAAAAACTAAGAAGTATTACCATCGAGGAGAATGCAATCTGTGATGAGCTAGGAGGCGAGGTCTGCAGAAATCTCAGCCAATTCAATGAAAGAAAATCAGAATGTTATTTCTATGCTACGAGCCAAACGATGAAAGTTGCATCCATCAAACCAAACTGGACCACATATAGTTTGATTTGGTTTTGATTCCATTAATTTTTAAAAACCTCCAAGGTTGTGCTTTCAATTCAAGTTTGTTACTTGTTTTCTCTATTCTATGCCGATTCTGTCTGATCAGAACTGGACTGGAGCTGCACACCCCTAGATTGAACACGTACATACCACCATAAGTAGGAATATGCTTGGTCCAATCTAGACCAGAATGCAACCAAATCGGCACAGGAACATATTGAAAACAAAAGAAAATTGAGGACCAGAGACGGATCATAAAAGTACATTCGAACCTAGTCAGTCTGGTCTGATTTCAATTCTTTCTGCTTACTTTTGTTTTTAAGGGGATCTATGGAATCAAAACCCAAAAAAGGAATTGAACTTTGAGAATAAAAACCGAAACGAGTTATGTTTCGGTGTGGACTAAATCATTTACTACCCCTAACCATACATATGATGAATATATGCACCACAATCCATAAGTTCTACAGAAAGAAAGCAACCAATGGAAGTCGGAAAAATACCAATGGAATCAATACCAAACGCTTCAGCCTAACAATAATCAAAAAATAATACATGCCTGTCCATTATCGATCAATCCAATTTGAGCCTCGTGCGCAAAGGCCAACAGACTCTGTATTCCAGACAACGACTCTTGCTGAAATCAAAACGACCATAAAAAGTTAAGGACAAAGATTTACTAACACTCCCGAATTCTACCAGAGACAATGTTAGCACCATAATCACCTGCTTCACTCCAAATTTATCGACTCGTGACTTCTGAAATCAACAACAGGAAAGAGTGACGTGAGCCATCAAATTACGACCCTAAGCAAAGAAAATAGTTTGCATGAGAAAAAACACGGAGCACGCAGATTTTACCAGAGATTCAACACGTTCCTTAAAAGAATGAAAGTCATTGCCAATTTTTCCTGATCCATCCCGTAGTCGAACAACCTAAGAATGTAGGCCACATTTATAAAGCGAATATCATATGAACATATAAACATTGACTTACAGCAAAAAGTACAGCTAATTAAACTTACTATTCCTTGTGTGCTGTCTGTAATTTTTTCAATCTCTATCAACTTAGTATCCAAGTTTGAAATGCCTGCCGATAACTCCTTCCTAGTAGTCTAAACAATAGAACATTCATATTAGAAAGACCAAAAACTCTCTTGTTTGAAATTGCAATGAGAAAACAAAGGCCAGAATAAGAAAACCAACCCGGAGTGAAGCATAGACAGTTTCAAGTTGTTGGGCTACCGAATTGCAGGCATCGGATAAAGTACGCCTTGTAGCGAACATCATATCAGGGAGTTTCCAGCCCTGAAAATAAGAAAATCACCAAGTTGGGGGGCCAGTACTGGTGCTGAAATAATCCAGAGAAAAAAAATCCAGTGAAGAAAAGATCACTACCTAAGTCTAACACAATGCTCGTAGAGGTAAAGTACTCAAAAGACGTGTACATTATCAAGCTTGAGATGGTTCAAGCAAACAAATAATGCTATTACCTTCCACCAAACATAGCCATAGCCAATCACTCCAACCACAACGATTGTATAATATTTGTTAGCACCTGTAGATCACAGAACCAAGTTCAGAAACAAATGGTTGCAACTGCAAAAAATCACTTAACTTTAGATTGTAAATATTATCTAACAACAATCGAAACACTCTTGAAATGGAAAGCTTGATCTGAAAAATTCAATCTAGGACAAACAGTAGGTAATTTGTATGTGCAAGTATTAAAACCTGCTCCTCCTGAAGTGATGATTGTAACTGGTCCGTTTGATGCTAACAATTGCAGTTCCTGCCTCAGACTGTTAACCTGTATTGATATGTGAATATAAGAACCACACTGGCAATGGAAACTTGAAATGAAAATACATGGCTTCTTCTCTTCCAAAAGAGAACGCCAAAAAAACAATGAAGAAAACAGGATTTTGGGTTAATATTCTGAAGGACTAAGAGCATAAACGAAATAAAATCCATTTGAAAGGACGTAGAATAGCTCCACCCTAATTCACCCACTACATGTGTAAGATTGAATTGCAAACCTGTGCCAACAAGGAATCATTTTGTGGCTTTTTCCCAGATCCAGTGTCTTGCTTTAACTGCTTCCAAATCTATTGTGAAGAACAAATCAGCATAAACATCCATGAGAAAACAGGATACCACAAAAAAATTCTAGACAGAATAGAAACTAGAGAAGAGATCCTTCTGAACCACAGATTTCATGTATACATTCAGCGAATTTTAATTGGCACCAACCTATGTGATCATATAAGAGCGAATTGTTCCTTTGTGTATGGCTAATGTTAGATATTGCATAGAAATGAATACTACATCACCAGAGAAACAGTAGGTACACAATTCTAATAGCTCATAATTAACATCTTTATTTGGCACTCACCTTGCTAGCTCCAAAAAGCCAATCAGTAATGCCTGAATCTTTTCCATAAACAGTGCTAGCGCCAATAAGACCTAAGAATGGCAGAAACAAAACAAAAAAAAAAAAAAAACTCATTGTTCAAGAAAACAAATTTATATACTGAACAGGCAATAATTTTGCAGGTCAAGGGAAACAGAAACATGACACGAGAGGTTATCATTACTCATCGGCTGTAACAGATGGAAGATTATGAATTCTATAAAAAAAAAAAAAAAACTGTGTGCATGAGAACCCAAATGCTTATTGGCATTGCCCACTAAGCAAGAAATTCTTCTAAAGATTGGAAACAACAGAAATTCCCTTTGTCACAGTTAAATAAGACTGACAACTGATAACTAAAGCACACCATTTGAGAGCTCGTTAACAGTTTGCCACCAAGCCACTATCTGCTAGCTACGACGATAAGCCAACTTCAAATTTCAATACAAGTGTAAAGTTCCAGTTAACACAGTAATTGCCCTCGAACCAAACTAGAAACCCACCACTACCATACAGCTATACGGAGTCGACTATCAAACCATGAATCGAAAACCCTAATACAGTCGTCCAAACTCCTACATTTGTCCGTCGCGATCATCGAGACCCAAAATCATGAGTCAACCTGAGGTTTAACCAAGACCCTAAAATCTCTGTGCTGTAATGCTCTAGAAGCTATGACCAAACTAATTGAGGAGCTACAAGCTGTAATTGGTTCCCAGAATGCGTACAGATTCCGCCAGAGCTGATCGGCCAATGGAGGGCAATTTTTTTTTTTTTTTTTTTTTTTTGACAAATTAACAAGGGAGGGGTAGATTGTACTGACCGGCACCGGCAAGAATAACCAACTTGCCGAGAGGGAGCGCCATGGGTGGATGAAGAAGCTGCGGGAAACAATCGGCTTTTTCTGCGCGAGCGAGTGCCCTTCGAAGCGACTACAAAGAGCTGTTCACCATAAGGAAGAAACGAGGGCTTCGACTTTATTGAATTACTAAGAGCTCCCGGTGACTGTGAAACGAGCTAAGGTTCTTAGGTGGGCTCGCCGGAGACCAAAGGGGCGGTGATCGGGAAACTGTGATAGTAGTAGCAGCAACCCTATATGCCGGAGAGGAGGGTTCTCGTTCAGGAGGGCGGCGAGTCTAGAAACGGGGATCTACCTGTCGGTTAAATTATTCCCTTGTCCTCCCGGCTCCCGACGTGGAATATCCTATGCCCTATGGCACACGAGAGAAATTTCGAATTAGTATTTAATTTGGGGTTAATTGCAAGTTTAGTGACTGGGTTCACGAAAAAGGTTCACGTTTGATCATTAGAAATATTTAATTCCATTAGTGGTCACTAAAATTAGTTAATAGATCAATTTTGGTCATTTTCCGTCCAGCTCCATTTACTTTGTCTGATGTGACAGTCAAATCTCAAAGTTGACCATTAACTGAATGGCGTGGCAAATAAAAATTAATTTAATTTAATCTTTTACAATTTCCAACTCAAAGTAAAATAAATAAAACATGAACAAATTATTGTAATTACCACATCCGACCACTGATCACAGGCCGTCATCATCATGTTTTCACCGCAGCCGATGCGCAATGCCGAGACGTCGTCCCCCCACCCACGGAGTTCCGCCCCTCACTTCCACTCCACTTTGTCCACGTAGAAGCTCTGCCGATTCAACTCGCACATCCTCCTCCTCCTCCGCATTCTCGCCTTCTGCTTCTCCCTCTCTTCCTCCATCTTCCCGCTCATCACCAACTCCTAGGGCTCCGACTCTCCCTCCTAGCGCGACTTCAACGCCTTCTGGTCAGTCATTCCTCCCCCCTCTTTTCCTTTCCCCCATCAATTTCTCCTTTTCCAATTTATTGTTTTGTTGCCGGGAAAATGAACATTTTGATTTCACTTTCAGGTTTGTATTGCGATTCCCGCTTCTACGGCTGGTTTTTGCAGGAACTGCGGGCAACGGAGGCAGGATAAGGACGACGACGAGTTAAGGGAAGAGTCGATCGGAGATTTTAAGGTCCTAATGGTTGAGGTCGCGGCGAAGAAGAAGGGAACTAAGGTTAGCGGACAAAGCACCACGACAACAGAACACCAGAGTTGGGTTGGGGGTGGCAGCTTTTCAAAGCTTGTTGTGCCGCATAATACTTGGCTCTTTCCGGCATCGGTTTCTTTGCGTCCAATTAATTTCCTCAACTCCCCCAACCCTAATAATAAAACAACCCAAACACCTTTTGCATGTAAGATCATCCACAATGTGGGTGGGGGAAATGTGGGAAAAGTGGGAAAATTGGATGATTTGGTCACACTGTGGTGGTGGGAAAAGTGAGTAATCAATTTAGTACTTTTTCTTAAATCAATACATAGTTGATTTTGTCACTTTATTTTCATATAATGATCATTATTATTACGTACTTAGTGATAATTAATTAATACGAACATTTTAATATAATTTTTTTTAATTTGGACATATTTTTTCATCACTAATTAAGTATGACATCATCAATGACGAAATCACAATAATACGAGGGGACAAAAACACAGCCTTTCCTAAAATCAGAAAAAATCAGAAGAAAAAAAGGGTTGTCCTTTCCCATCCGCCACTTCCCCCACCATTTGTCTCATCCAGTGGGTTTTCCCACTGTACGTGGGCAACGGGGTCGTGCCGTTCACGGGCTCGCACGGCACGACACGATCACGGGCACGTAATAAATGGGCTAGCCAGGCACGAGCACGAATAATTTATGGGTTGTGCCGGGCCTAAACTTCATGGGCACGACACGGTATATAAGTCGGTCGTGTCGGGCCTAATATTTTTGAGACTTTATTGAGTATAAGAACGGACATGGCACAAAAATAATATTTATTTGATAGAAATTAAATATAAAAAGAATTATAGGTTCAAATATTACAAAACACAAGTAGAAAAATAATTATTTGCTGTTGTTAGAAATGTCATAAAGATATATATGTAATTACTAACATAAGTTAAAATGGACAAAGAATTAAACAAAGCCAAATCACACTCGCTATACTTCCAATTTTCTTTTCCCCTTGATTTGTTACTTTTCTCAAACATTATCGGTTAATACTATCTTCCTCCGTCCAATTTTCACCATCTTTTTCATTCTCTCTTTTGTTTTCGTCCTTTTCATTAAACACGAATACGAGCATGGCACGAGCACGAATAGGCACGACACGATTTGAACTGTGCCCGGACCTGGGCCGGGCATAGTAAAATTAACAAATGTGCTTGCATGGCACGACAAGAAAACTAACGGGCCATGCCGAGCACGACATGAAATAAATGGGCCCGAAGCGTGCCCGTGTCGTGCCGGCCCAAGCACGGCCCCGGACCTAGGCCGGGCATAGTAAAATTAACAAATGTGCTTGCATGGCACGACAAGAAAACTAACGGGCCATGCCGAGCACGACATGAAATAAATGGGCCCGAAGCGTGCCCGTGTCGTGCCGGCCCAAGCACGGCCCAGCGCCCATGTACATTTCCCACCCACTAAACCCACAAAACCCATTTAATCCCCTATTCCCCCCACATTGTGGTCACATTTCCCCTTTTCCCCACAAAACCAACCCACGTTGTGGGTGGTCACAAATTGTTCGGTGGTTACGGGGGTTGAGTGAACCCCAGATGAATCTTTCGTTGGATCCTGCTACTAGACTCAGGACCGTCGACGTAGTGGTGGTGGCGGGCGCAGCGGCGGGGTTCTCATGGGAGATTGGGCGATCCGATAAAATCATGGAGAAGAAATTAGGGAGCGTGGGTTGTATAGAAATTTTTTTTTTTGTTGTTAGAGAAATTTCATTTGATAATTATAATAATTTTTTTGTATTTTATTTATTTTACTTTATTATGAAAATGAGTTGGAAATGGTAAAAAATTAAATTAAATTAATTATTTTTTAATTGTCACGTCATTAACGGTCTACTTTGAGAGTTGACTGCCACATCAGACAAAGTTAACGGAGTTGAACGGAGAGTGACCAAATTTGATCTATTTAACTAATTTTAGTGACCACGAATGAAATTAAATATTTCGAGTGATCAAACGTGAACGTTTTTTGTAAACTCAGTGACCAACCTTGCAATTAACCCCGAAAAAAAATCAGCATAAACCGTGCACAATGATGATAAGCAAAAATCAGAGGCACACATTTTGTTCGTCCAACTGATATGGATGAGGGATATCCGGAACTTGAATAATTATGCTTTTTTTGGTTTCCTCAAGCAAAGGAAAGCAGTGAAAATGAGTTTCAGATCAAAGGCTGTGTCCTGCCGCTTCTCTCTAATTTCTTTTAAGTCTACTGTCTAAACTCCTAATAATAATAAACCTTTACATAGCCAGGGAAAGGGCTTTTTCAGTTCATCTTAAAAGCGTCAACAACATCCTCTACAAAATTTTGCTAGACACAGTCTACCCAGTTCAGCTAGGGTAGGTACTTAAGTTAGGAGAAGTCTCACAGGGAACAATGACTAACTTTTATGAACTGAACCCCGAACATCCGTTGCCTCCAGGAATTTTGCTGTCTTCACTGTCTCGGACCAGGTCGTCTTAGTATTGTACCTGCGGTGCTGCTGAATACTCTCGAGAGAAACGACGATGGTCTCTGCAGAACTGAAGAAGAAGAAGAAGAAGAAGACTCTCCTCCATTCGTTACTTCTGGAGTATAAATACCGTTCCAAATGCCTTGGCTGGTCAACTCAGTAACGCCAGCAACCCCGTTACCCTGTTGGACAAGAGTTGAATTAGCACATTGATGACAGTTCATGAACAGACGTAGAATCAGAGCAAGGTAGAAGATCGTGGGGTTTGACCTGCTGAGTAGAGGGTGGTGATACAATTCTTCGGGGAGTTTGTTCAACCTCAGGAGATGGATCGGAAGTAGCAGGCCTTGCTGATATTCCATCAGCAGCAGGTGGCAAAGCTCTCTGGAAACCCGACAGGAGAGAGAGAGAGAAGCAGTAGTGAGATTTCTTATAAGGACAAAAGACTGAAGAATAGAATAGTGAACTAGTGAAGGGCATAAGAAGTATTACCACTGAGGAGAATGAAATCTGTGGTGAGCTAGAAGGCGAGGTCTGCAGAAATCTCAGTAGATTCAATGAAAGAAAATCAAAATAATATTTCTATGCTACGAGCCATATGAAAAAAAATTTGCATTGCTCAAACCAAACTGGACCGCTCATAGTTTGATTTGGTTTTGATTCCATAAATTTTGAAAACCACCCAGATTGTGCTTTCGATTCGAGTTTGTTGTTTATTTTCTCTATTCTATGTCGATTCTGTCTGATCAGAACTGGACTGGACTGGAGCTGCACACCCGTAGATTGAACACGTACAGTACATACCACCATAAGTAGGAATATGCGTGTTCAAAACCCCAAAAAAAGTCTTGAATTTTGAGAATAAAAAACGAAACGAGTTATGTTTTGGTGTGGACTAATTCATTTACTACCCCTAATCATACATATGACGAATATATGCACCACAATCCATATATTCTACAGAAAGAAAGCAACCAAAGGAAGTCGGGAAAATACCGAACACTTTAATCTAACAATAATCCAAAATAATACATGCCTGTCCATTATCGATCAATCCAGTTTGAACCTCGTGTGCAACAGCCAACAGACTCTGTATTCCAGATATCGACTCTACCTGAAATCCAAACGCCCATAAAAAGTTAAGGACCAAGATTTACTAACACTACCGAACTCTACCAGAGACAATGTTAGCACAACAATCACCTGCTTCACTGCAATGTTATCGACTCTTGACTTCTGAAATCAACAACAGGAAAGAGTGATCTGAGCCATCAAATTACGACCCTAAGCAAAGAAAATAATCGTGAGAAAAAATACAAGTGCACAGATTTTACCAGAGATTCAACACGTTCCTTAAAAGAATGAAAGTCCTTGCCGATTTTTCCTGATCCTTCCCGTAGTCGAACAACCTAAGAATGCACGCCATATTATAAAGCTACTATCATATGAACATATAAACATTGACTTAGGCAAAAGATACAGCTAACTGAACTTACTATTCCTTGTGTGCTATCTGTACTTTTTTCAATCTCCGTCAACTTAGTATCCAAGTTTGAAATGCCTGCCGATAACTCCTTCCTGGTAGTCTAAACAATATAGCATCCATATTAGGAAGACCAAAAAACACTCTTATTTGAAATTCAAATGAGAAAAGAAAATAAGAAAACCAACCCGGAGTGAAGCATAGACAGCTTCAAGTTGTTGGGCTACCGAATTGCAGGCATCAGATAAAGTACGCCTTGTAGCAAACATCATATCAGGGAATTTCCAGCCCTGAAAATAAGAAAAACACCAAGTTGGGGGGACAATAATGGTGCTTAAAAATGTTCCAGAGAAAAAATCCAGCGAAGAAAAGATCACTGCCTCAGGCAAACACGAAGTTTGTTGAGGTGAAGTACTCGAAAGACGTGGACATTATCAAGCTGGAGATGGTTAAAGCAAAAAATTAATACTATTACCTTCCACCAAACATAGCCACAGCCAATCACTCCACCCACAACGATTATATAATATTTGTTAGCACCTGAAGATCAAAGAACCAAGCTCAGAAACAAATGGTTGCAACTGCAAAAAATCAGTTAATTGTAGATTGTAAATATTATCTAACAACAACCGAAACATTCTTGAAATGAAAAGCTTGATCCGAAGAATTCAATCTAGGACAAACAGTAGGTAATTTGTATATGCAAGTATTAAAACCTGCTCCACCAGAAGTGATGATTGTAACTGGCCCGTTTGATGCCAACAATTGCAGTTCCTGCCTCAGACTGTTAACCTGTATTGATAAGTGGATATAAGAACCACAGTGGCAATGGGACTGTCAAATGAAAAAACATGGCTTCTTCTCTTCCAAAACAGAACTCCAAACAAACTATGAACAAAACAAGTTTTCGGGTTAATATTCTGAAGGATAGAGTCGTCTAAGAGCATAAACGAAACAAAGATTTTGGAAGGACGTAGAATAGCTTCACACTGGAAGCAAGCTTTTACATCTAGCAGAAAGACAAGTGGGACAACTGCAGTGCCGAGAGTCCACCCTAATTCACCCATTACATGTGTAAGATCGAATCGCAAACCTGTGCCATCAACGAATCATTTTGTGGCTTTTTCCCAGATCCAGTGTCTTTCTTTAGCTGCTTCCAAATCTATTGTGACGAACAAATCAGCACAAACATCCATGAGAAAACAGGATAACTAAGAATAAATTCTGGACAGAAAAGAAACTAGAGAAGATATCCTTCTGAACCACGCATTTCATGTATACATTTAGTGAATTTTAATTGGCATCAACCTATGTGATCATGTAAGAGCGAATTGCTCCTTTGTGTATGGCTAATGTTAGAAATTGCATACAAATGAATACTACGTTTCCAGAGAAACAGTAGGTACACAATTCTAATAGCTCATAATTAATATCTATATTTCGCACTCACCTTGCTAGCTCCAAAAAGCCAATCAGTAATGCCTGAATCTTTTCCATAAACAGTGCTAGCGCCAATAAGACCTATGAATGGCAGAGACAAAGAACTCATTGTGCAAGAAAACAAATTTATATACTGAACAGGCAATAATTTTTCCCTTTATCAGAAGCATCGCGCACAGGTTAAATCAGACCGACAACTGATAACTAAAGTACACCATTTGAGAGCTCGTTAACACTTTGCTACCAAGCCACTATCTGCTAGCTGCGACGGTGAGCCAACTTCAATACAAGTGTAACGCTCCACCTAACACAGTAATTGCCCTCGAACCAAACTAGAGCCCACCACTACAATCCAGCTACATGGACTCGGCTATCAAAACCATGAACCGAAAACCCAAATACGGCCTAAAATCTCTGTGCTGTAGCTACAAAGTGTAATTGCTTCCCAGAATGCGTAAAGACCAATGGGGAAAAAAAATTGACAAGGGGGGAGGTAGATTGTACGTACCGGCACCGGCAAGAATAACCAACTTGCCGAGAGGGAGCGCCATGGGTGGATGAAGAAACTGCGGGAAACAATCGGCCTTCGCGGCGCGAGCGAGTGCCCTTCGAAGCGACTACAAAGTGATGTTCACCATAGGGAAGAAAGAGGGCTTCGACTTTATTGAATTACTAAGAGCTCCCGGTGACTGTGAAGCGAGCTAGGGTTCTTAGGTGGGTTTGCCGGAGACCGAGAGGGGGCGGTGATCGGGAAACTGTGATAGTAGTAGCAGCAACCCTATTTGCCGGAGACGGAGAGGAGGTTTCTCGTTCAAGGGGGCGTCGAGTATAGAAACGGGGATCGACCTGGCTGTGGGTTAGATTACTGCCATGCCCTCCTATGGCAAACGAGAGAAATTTAAAGTTAGTATTTAATTCGAGTTTGTTGTTATTCTTCGACGGGGATAGGGAATGCAATTGCAATAGGTAGGGATAGCAATAGATACGCGAGTGGCTTGATGTCCACGTAGAAAATAATTTTTTCCCACTAAGATGAGTTTGAGCTCAATTTTGTTTGAGTTGTAAGAGTAAGATTAGAAATGATAAACGGTTAGTCGGTTATCAATTTTAAGACTAGCAATGATAAACAGTTAGTTGGTTATCGGTTAGAAAAGAGTTTTTTTTTACTAAGATGAGTTTGAGCTCAATTTTGTTTGATTTGTGAGAGTAAGACTAGGAATGATAAACGGTTAGTCGGTTTTAAAACTAGGGATGATAAACAGTTAGTTGGTTATCGGTTTTAACCAATAATCGAACCGAAAAAGTCGGTTAGTGGTTAACCGATAATCGCTAATTTCTTATTGGTTTCGGTTAGTAGTATTTTGATTAGTGGTTAACCACTAACCGACTAATCTCTTAGTTGTTAACCGATAACCGCCTACTAGTGTGACTACATGGTTTTAGACTTCGGCTAAGGGAAAAAGTTATAAGATTCAAAACCAATCAAAGTCGCAATTCGAAACATCCCAATTCTCACCTATTGCAAACAACCCTCCATCAAGAGTCTCAAATGTTTTTAAGAGTTAGAACTCGAAGTCACCCCTCTCTAACTCCCATTTGCACTTGACAGAGGGAACCTTAGGTTGATTACGCGAATCGATCGTGCCCTGGTCAATCAGAGCTTTGATGAAAAATTCTCACCGGGTGAAGTGGTCGCCCTTGACCGTTTTGAGTCCGATCATAGCCCAATTCTACTTCGATGGGGAACCTTTGAAGTTGTACACCGTCCATGGAGAGTCCATGGAAATTCGAAAACATGTGGTTGTTACAAGAGGAGTTCATTAGGCGATGTGTGGGCTGGTGGAATGTCCCAGTTGGGGGGTATTGATCATATTTTTCGTTTCGGACAGAAGTTAAGGCAAACAAAGAGTCTCATAAAGGTTTGGAATAGAGAGGAATTTGGGCGTGTTGATTTGAAGATTAATGAGTTACTGGGCAAAATAAAGGAGGGTGATAATAGTGAGGAAAGAGGCTTTACTTCTGAAGCGGCGAGAATTAACAGAAGTCTTTGGCAAAAGGAATTGGATAAAATTCTTATTCTTGAGGAGATTTCGTGGAGGCAAAAGTCCAGGGAAATATGGCTGAAGGTAGGAGATCGGAACACCCCGTTTTTTTCATAGAGTGGCGAAGAGCAACACAAGGAGGAAGCGAATAAAGAGGATTAAAATTAATGGTGTGGTCGTTGATAGCAAAGACGAGTTGACGGCGGGATTCATCAATCACTTCTCAGAGTTTTTTCTTGAGAACGGGACGAATCGACCTTTCTTTAGAACCTACAAAGAAGGAGTGTTTGGGGTGGTTGAGAATTATATTCTTACCAGGCCATTCATGGAAGGAGAACTCTGGGAAGCAATCAAGCATTGTGCCGGAGACAAAGCGTCTGGCCCCGATGGTTACACTATGGAATTATACAAAAGATGTTGGCCTATTATTAAACAGGACCTGCTAAAAGCAATGGACGAGTTCTACTTCGCAATGGACGAGTTCTACCTGATTCGGTTGGACACTCCTTCATATGTTTGTTACCGAAAAAGGAGGCAGTTGAAGAGATAAGGGATTTTAGACCTATTAGCCTTATAGGGAGTTTGAAGAAGGTCATCTCCAAGGTGCTGGTGGCAAGAATTAGACCGTTCATGAACAAATTCATCTCACAATCGCAGTATGCTGGTATCAAAGGAAGGCAAATTCAGGAAGCGTGTTTGCTTGCAAGCGAACTAATTGATAGCAGAATAAGAAGCGGGAGAGCGGGGATTATCTTGAAACTGGATATAGAGCGCGCTTTCGACTCGGTCAACTGGGAGTGTGTCTCTAAAATATTACAAGCAATGGGTGCGGATGTGAAATTCAGGAGATAGATTGAAGCCAGTTTGAAGGCGGCCAAGGCCTCGATGCTAATCAACGGGGAGGCTGCTGGATTTTTTTATATGAAGAAGGGCGTGAAACAAGGTGATCCCTTGTCACCGTTCGTGTTCAATCTAGTTATGGATGTGCTTTCCTTTATGCTTGATAGATTACAAGAAGAAGGTGGAATCTCTGGTTTCTGTATGAAGGGCAGCGAAGGAGAAGTCTCGCATTTGTTATACGCGGATGATGCCATCATTTTCTGCGACGCTTCTGAAGAGCAGGTTGTAAATATCATGGCTGTCTTGGCGTGCTTCCAAAGCATCACAAGACTCAAGATCAACATCGAGAAGAGTCGAATGTTCCCGGTTGGTACTTGTGATCAAATTGAGAGATTGGCAGAGTTATTTGGGTGTTCTTGGGAACTCATGCCGGCAACCTATCTCGGAACACCACTGGGAGTTCATGCTCAATCACCTTCTGTTTGGGAGCCAATGGTGGTTAGATTGCAAAAAAGGCTGGAGGGATGGAAAGGGGGGTTATTATCCCTGCCTTTCATCACAAATGGTCTACGTTGCAAGTCTATTCCCTATCACAAAAGAAGGCGGCTGCTGACATTGAGAAGGTTATAAGGAATTTTATTTGGGAAGGAACAGGGGGTGAACACAAGTTACACCTCATCGCTTGGGATACTTGCAAGGCTCCAAAGTGGTTGGGTGGGATCGGTATTCATGATGTGGTTTGGCAGAATCAGTCTCTCCTTTGAAAATGGCATTGGAGGTTTGCGACGGAAAGAAATTCTCGGTGGAGGCAACTAATTGACATGAAGTTTCCAAACCGAAATTCAGATTGGAGAACAGGGGATTTGGGTGGCTCAGCAGGATGCAGCCTTTGGAAGCAAATTTGCAAAGTACAAAGTATTTTATGGGATTTTGCTAATATTGATCCAGGGGGTGGTATGACGACATCCTTTTGGCATGATAGGTGGATAAAAAGGGTCACTCTCGCCCAAGCTTTCCCTAGAGCTTTGCTGCCGCAACTCCTCAATGCAAGAACTTCTCTGTTGCTGAAATTTTCCATTATGTGGGAGAGAGTGAAAGTGAGGGCTTTACTTGGGATATTCCCTTGAATTTTACCTTGAGAGGGGGGGGGGGGGGCTGAGAGGGAGAGGGAGAGATTGATGACTTTACTTTCAGATTGCAACATCTCTTTACATTCTGCAGGACCACCTAGAGTGACATGGAGTCCCTCACCATCGACCGGCTTCTCAGTGGGCTCACTATATAAAAGCATGGCGGAAGAGAAGTATGGTCAGCAGGAAGATTTCCCTTTTAAAGTGATATGGAAGAATATCATTCCCGTCAAGATTTGCACCTTCCTTTGGCTGGTGTTCCACAAGAAGATATTGACACATGATTCATTGAAGAAGAGAGGTTGGAACATGCCGAGTAGATGCGCGCTTTGTTTGTCGAGCGAGGAGGACATTAATCATTTGTTTCTTCGTTGTGGTTTTGTGAGATTCGTTTGGTACATAATAAGCAGATTTGTGAAAATCCCCCGTGGTGAACATGTACTTGATGAAGAGATCCAGAATGTCATCAAGCGCTGGCCGCAAAAATGCCCATCCGGACCTAGAGAATGGTGTTCGAGCGTAGTCCTGCACGCCTTGTGCTGGGCCGTCTGGAGAGAAAGAAACAGCAGAATATTTGAAGACCAGGCGAGTCCACCCAAAGTGGTCTGCAGAAGGATCGGCCAAATGGTGGCTGAATGGCTCAGAGTTGGTGGCAAAGTTGATGCCATAACAACAGAGCAGTGGCTAGCTCGGCTGCATAGGAACATCTCTACTACTAACAGGTTGTTGAACATCCTCGACGAGAATTAGCAACACTAGATTCGGTCTTATCCCACTTCGGCTTCTTAGTTACTTTGTATACAGGGCCTGGATTTCAGCTCCTTTCCTGTAATGTTTCCGTAATATTTCGTTTTTGTTCCAGCATGCAGGTCGATTGTTTGGCTCTCTGCCTCCACCTATTGTGCGTGTACTTTGTTCGGTTGTATTTTTCCTTTGTTTAAATTAATAAAAGGCTATCACCATTATAAAAAAAATGATGACTATGGGTAGATTGGAGCGAGATTCTTGGATCAGTTAGGTTGATGATTTGGAGATGATGAACTTGTTATTTGTGTCTAGTTGTGATTGTGACTTGTGGTTGAATTGTGGGCACGTAGACTTTATGTTGTGGAGTTGTGGTTGAATTGTGTGGTTTCTTTAGACTTTATGTTCAATTTATTTAGAGGACTTTATGGTGTGTGATTTTAGAGGTTGAAACAAAAGCATGTCACTCAAAATGGCTAATTGTGGAAATAGTGTCAGAATACCTACTTTGGAGGCTTGTATCTTCATCTTGAAAGATAATCGATGGGAGTATGGAGTTGGACATCAAAATATAAGTTCAATTAAAGACCGTGAAGGCACTGGATGAGAAGGTTGAAACTTCCTAGACACCAAACGAGTAGCCTAACGATCGTATGGTGATTAGGAAAAATACCCTATCTGGTGGGTTAAAATCCCCTACAGGGGATCTGAGGTTTGAGATAGGGTATTTGGGTTAGAAGGACCCCCGGTCATGAGGGTTAACATACCTGATAGGGTATTTTGGGCTGATGAGAT